TGCTATAGGGTTCGGGAAGAACGCCATTGGCGGGAGAAACGGTAGGATTTACGTGGTGACCGACGCCGGCGACGACGATCCGGTGAATCCCCGGCCGGGGACTCTCCGTTACGCCGTGATTCAAGACGAACCGTTGTGGATTATATTCGCGAGGGACATGGTGATTCAGTTGAAGGAGGAGCTGATCATGAATTCCTTCAAGACAATCGATGGACGAGGCGCGAGCGTGCACATTGCGGGTGGGCCCTGCATAACGATCCAGTACGTAACCAACATTATAATCCATGGAATTCATATACACGACTGCAAGCAGGGAGGGAACGCTATGGTGAGGAGCTCCCCACGGCACTACGGCTGGAGAACCGTATCGGACGGCGACGGCGTGTCAATCTTCGGAGGAAGCCACGTGTGGGTAGATCACTGCTCGTTGTCGAATTGTAAGGATGGTTTGATCGATGCTATTATGGGGTCCAGCGCCATAACCATTTCCAACAATCACATGACGCACCATGATAAGGTCATGCTACTGGGTCATAGCGATTCTTATACGCAAGACAAGAACATGCAAGTCACCATCGCTTTTAACCACTTTGGAGAAGGCCTCGTTCAAAGAATGCCGAGGTATACCATAACTAATAGTGATCTTATATGTGGTGTTTTATATGTTCACAGAGTAGACGAAATTCACCATATATATAGCGAGTTTTTCACATTTGGAAAAGATTCAATTACAATGATTTCAATGAGTTTTTTTTTTGGGGGGGGTAGTTCTTAGCGAGAATAACAATATGTTGAAGGAACAATTAAAGGGTCACTAAGCAGTGGAAAAAGGCAGCATTAGGGTAAAGGATAGGAGAATAAGAGAAAGTGAAAAAGTGAGGAGGATATAAAGAAAAGGAATGGAGGGTGTTAATTTTGTCTAGACATGATATTTACTGAGCTTCAAGTTTAGGTGGGGTCCTGCTAAAATTTGAAAGAGACTTTAAATGGTTTGTTATATGTATGGAGCAGATGCAGACTTGGATACTTCCATGTGGTGAACAATGACTACACTCACTGGGAAATGTATGCCATTGGAGGAAGCGCTAACCCTACCATCAATAGCCAAGGCAACAGATTCGCGGCACCCGATAACAGATTCAGCAAAGAGGTATTTATTTATTCATTTATATTATTTAATGTTTAAAACTTTTTCCTGAAATTAGTGGTGTTTGAAATGGAGACGCTAATGGTCAATGGGGGGAACATTGTTAATGTGAAATAGGTGACAAAGCATGAGGATGCCCCAGAGAGCGAATGGAGGGGCTGGAATTGGAGATCAGAAGGGGACTTGTTGCTAAACGGTGCGTTTTTCAGATCATCAGGTGCTGGAGCCTCCTCTAGCTACGCAAGGGCTTCTAGCTTGAGTGCCAGACCATCTTCTCTTGTGGGTCCCCTCACCTCCGGTGCTGGCACCCTCACCTGCAGAAAGGGTTCGCGCTGCTGATCATTATCACATAAAAGAAAAGAGAGGGAATTCAACAAGAAGTTATATCTCTAGGATTGACTCCAATTCCCTCCATTCTTTTTTTTTTTTTTTGGTTTTCCCTTAATGTTTTCTAGATTGCTTTTCTTTTGCAATGTTTGTTTGCTTTGATTTGCTCTGTAATGTCTCAAGATTACAACCTCGGCCTGTGACTCTTAGATCCAAATCATCTGGGGGAAGTTAATGATGGTCTAAGAGGAAACAAGTGCAGAAGAGTTGATACTAATATCAATGTACTACCAATACACGAAATTACATATATTTGTAGATGCATGAAATCTCTGTTCTCAATTCTCATTCAGCTTTTCACTCTGGTTATGGCTGTCACCGACACATGCGCTGACACAAAAGTAGAGCCGTTCACTGAGACTGAAAAAGGCAGCTCCTATGATGGAAAACATCAAAACAAAACAAATCTTGGAATCACATCCCATCAATCAATCAAAGTTACTACAGGTTTATTTAACAATTAAAAAAAAAAAACCCAGCTACCGAATAACTGTTAACGAATGGGACAGGAGGAAATAGGCACAATAGGTGTACGAGTGCCGCATGTTACTGCCTTATTGGTATTTCTCGTAACCCCTCAAGCCCCAACTTTATTGGCGATTCAATTGGATTTGGAGGGAGAATGCCACAGGAGGGAGAAAAAGCACCCTGCTGTAGGCCACAGCATATAAAGTTAAGTTAAAAAGAGCTAATGGGTGGATTCCGCGTTGTATAAAAGGACGCAATTTATACTTTTTAGGCTTTTAGCTAGGCGTTTGACCGCCACGAGCACTTGCTTCCAGCAGTGGACGAGGCAGTAAATGATAAAAATTGGTCTCTTCCCAGTTGAAAATATTTTATTTTTCCCAAGACAGGCGGAAAAGACTTCAAGAGAAGGTGAGATCTTGAAATTTATTGCTCTTCCATTGCTGCACTCCACTGGCACTTGCACCTTCATGTCCCAAGGTCTCTAATTGCCTTACACAGAGCCCAAAACACCGCCTTTTAATTTGTTTTTGTTGACTAAAATGTTTGAAAATGGAACTCCCTGCCTTCTTCAACAACGTGATCTTGTCTAAAAAAATCAGAGGGGTAAATAATCGATGCAAAAGGCCAATAACGCAAGGATAAGGTTCATGTCTAAGGGCATTGTTGAAATTCTCACATCCCAATAAGATGCTGCGTGTAAAATTTGCCACCTCATCTCCACTCTTTGTTTGCCTCCCAGGAGAGGTTGATTAGAGTTAGAACTAGTACATGTGTTTGTCCTTGTTCTAAATACAAAAGAAATTACAATATAAGGGATAAGCAAATACTACATTAGTTTTTAATATAACAACTAAATAATTACTCTTTTGGTTTTATTTATAGGTCACTTACATTATGTTTTATACAAACTAAGAAAAACCTTAAATTTCATTAATTCTTATTTAAAATTCAACAACTTTCTAATTTTATCTGTATTTAATATGCATTATACCTCATGTAAATAAAATCAATATAATAATAAATAAGGGATAAAATTATACATTCATATGAAAAATTTCTCTCAGTTTCTTATAAATAAAACAAAAAAAGGTCTTCTCTCTATCATGTAAATAGGACTAGAGGAGTAATTTAGGAATACTATAATGGGATTAACTCAAATTATTTATTTGTAATGAGTATATGTTTGCTTTTCTAAACTATCATATTCAATCATATACATTAAGACAATCTCTTATTGAAAACCCTTAATATGTATAATCAATTTTTATTTTTGTTTTTTTAATATACAGGAAAGTTAGTGTTATAATGTCTAGTAAAAAATAAAATCGTTTCCATTTGCATAAGGAGTTGATTATATGACAGCAGCAACAAGTGCAGGAGTCATATTCATATTAAGAAACTTGACAAAGAAACCGCTGAAAAAGGAAGCAGAGCGGGATGCTCCAGGCGTTTCGGGGCTAAGCTGTGAAGTGTGAGGAGGGGGACCCACGTGGGAAAGGAAAAAGAAAGGCAGCACATGGGGGGGGGGGGTCGAAGGAAGTGGGATGTTATTGCTTCCTCAATCCCAAATTCAATTGCGTTACACCAAACCCAAACACACCATCTTTCGTCTTTGTTGACTAATCTCATGTTTGAAAAATGAAACTCCCTCTCACCTTCTCAAACAACGTGATTTTGTCCAAACATGTTACCATTATCATCAGACGCATCACCAATCGATGCAAAATAACCATAACACACCAACAACAACATGGTGCTCCTAAAATTTGCCACCTAATCTCCACTCGTTGACTGCTTCCCAACACACCCTGGACAAATCAAATTTTATCTCTGATTCTTAAGATAATAACTAATTAGAAAGTTAGGTCTAATCATGAATTAAAAAAAAAACTTAATTCATTATATCTCTTATATTCATTATCATTTCTCCAAACTAAATTATAAAATGACATATAACCTAATGTTATACTGTGATCATGTTATGTTTATTATAATTAATTTGTTTGACTTTCTCAATCTATTACCAAGTACTCCTTTGGTCTATTTATAATGTATTTACAGTATGTTTCGCATAGACAAAAAAAAAACCTTAAACTTCATTAGGTCTTATTTAAAATTTGATAATTTTTAACTTTATCTCTATCTAATATACATTATACTCCTTCCGGTTCAAAATATAAGCTAAATTTTATCCATTTACGTTTATCAAGAAACTAATTAAAATCAATTTAAAATAATAAATATGTTAGGCATATATTTATTTTTTTCAAATGTGCCCTTATTAATAAGGAGAATAGGTAAAAGATACAATAAATGAATCAAAAGGGAAAGATAATATATGGAGGGTAAAATTAGAAAAACTCATTAAATGTTAACACAAAAGTGAATATTATTTTATAAAAAAAAACCAAACCCCTCCAACAAAGTTCAGCTTAGATTTTAAACTAGAGGGAGTACTTCATGTAAACAAAGTTAGCACAATAGTAAATAAGGGGGTAAAATTATACATTCATACAAAAAATTTCTCTCAGTGTCCTATAAATAGGACCAGAAAAACATCTTCTCTCTCTGTTTTATAAATAGGACCAGAGGAGTAGCTATTATATTAAAAAAGAAAGGGAGTATCAAATTTGTTTCAACAAATCTAGGGATTCTGTATATGAAGTTTTCACATGGGTGGACCTTTTGACAAATATTCTTGAGTAAAGATTCATCGGACGGGGACCCTGATCTTCTTTGCTCTCGAGGGCCTATTGGGCCTGTAAAATAACAATAAAACTGGGCCTTTTTAATGGAATCTGTTAGCCCAGGTTGCCACTGATGACGTCATAACATAGAAAAACTCGTTTTGCATTCATGAGTTGGAAGGAAGCTGAGCCCAAATGGCCCAAGGTGGTCAACAGCTTGCATTTTGACTTGGCCAACCTGACGCGTGAATTAAATATGAATCACAGGGTTGGTGAAAAGGGCGTGTTCATCACTTCATTTAGCTACGCGTAGAAAAAAATAGGAATCGCCTGTAGGGATGAACCTGACCGGGAATGTCCGCCCGGTTCGTTCCTCCATTTCACTGCTTCATCGCTCTCCAATCATCTCTCTTTCGCTATTTAAATATTGCTCTTCTTCCTCCTTGTGTTAATTTAACGCTGTGTCAATGGCCACAAGTGCTCACAACCTTGCTTTGGATCCGGATCTGGATTCTCCTGACAACCCTACTCACGAGTTCGCTCAGTTTGGCGCTGGTTGCTTCTGGGGAGTGGAGCTCGCCTTTCAGCGACTCGCTGGTGTCGTCAAAACCGAGGCCGGATACTCTCAAGGTCATACTCCCGATCCTAACTACAAATTGATATGTTCCGGAACCACTAATCACGTAGAGGTTGTTCGGGTTCAGTTTGACCCGCAAGTGTGTTCCTACACTGATCTTCTCTCTCTCTTTTGGTCTCGTCACAATCCCACCACTATCAATCGCCAAGTACTCTCCTCTCTAATCTCTCTACGTTTCTCTTGTTAGTTTGATTGATTCCTTTGGTTCTAAGTAAAGTGTTTTTGTGGATGTCCTCAGATTTTTTGTTGAGTTGACTTTTTAGACCTTGTGATTATCAATTATAATGCTATTCATTGTTTTCTTTATGCAACATGTGTAAAATACAAACATCCCGAACTATCAAATTTTGTAAATAATTTCGTGTTATCGTTTGTTTAACTAACAATATTTGAAACTAGATTTCAAGATTATTTACAGTACTTAAAGCGTGTTTATTGAGTTGTTGCCTGTTTGCGTGTAACTCCCTAGTTTATGAAAAAATATTTTCTCAGAAAACACAGTTTTTTTTTAATCACAATATGTAGAATGAAAGAATGAGTGAACTAATATTTATCTTTATAACTTTTTGCAAGTAATTTATTATTACATTTTGAAGATTGGAGAAGACGCATGCATATGACTTAATAAGTCAACAATTATGAACCAATAAAGAGGTTAATGAGCTGATGGTTAAATTTATATTGTAAAGATGCAAGGGCTTTGCATAGATACGATTGATTATATTTATGGTCGGAATAAAGAAAAAGCATCCTTAGTTTGAAATGGACAATATGACATGTTCTGAGGTTTTACATTTTTCAATTGGATTATTATTCATTAAAATGCACATCTATCTGTAGGGGAATGACGTGGGAACACAATATAGGTCAGGGATATACTACTACAATGAAACTCAGGCTGGTTTAGCAGAGGAATCAAAGGAAGCAAAACAACGGGAACTGAATGTGAAGGTAGTGACAGAGATTCTTCCGGCGAAGAGATTTTACAGAGCAGAGGAATACCACCAACAATATCTGGAGAAAGGTGGCCGTAATGGCCTCAAACAATCTGCAGACAAAGGATGCACTGATCCCATCAGATGCTATGGGTGAATGTTGATCACCCGCCATTTTCATCATCACCGTCTTCTGCCTGCTATATATCTATGCCAACTTGTCTCTACTGTTCAAAAATAAATAAAACAAACTTCTTCGCTTCATGAATTAATAGGATTCTCTAAACTACCTTATGGTCAAGTTAGAATTTAGGAAGAGATATGAAACTCACGGATGCAGAGATGGTACACACCATTCTATTGCTATCTCTATGTTTGATACTTATGTATGTTATGGAATCCAGACTGAGTTCCAACAGTTTCTATTTAGAAATTGTACTTGGATATGAATAAATCTAATTACTTAGCTATTTGTCAAGAAATTATGCCTATCAAATAACTATTGGCTGCTTTGTGAACAAAGTTTTACTGTAATATTTCAAGCATTGTGGTGCATGAAGTTTTATACTTTTCCAAATGTAATATCAAAGACAAGTTTGTAAAGCCTCGTCACCCTATAAAGAAAACATTCTTAGTGTAGTATTTCCAGGACACTCATACTTAGTATGTGGTCCTGTACTGTTAAAAGATAAGATGGCGAGAGAATATTGCTGAGTAAATGATAATTATGTTCTAGAATCTCATTGCAAAGATATTAAGGCTATGGAATGTAGCTAACAGGTCTGCATACAAACTGCAAGTTTTATTCCTAAATGGTAGAGACGGAGTGATCTTGATGTGTACATTAATATTAATGATAATATCATTAAGTTACTTCTCACTTTTCCTCTGGTTTTGATGATATAAACAACAATTCAAAGCTCGTCTTTAGGAGATGATTGGCGTCCTCCTGGGTTGGTGGAGGAGTTTTTGATTGGATAAGAAGGTTCCATTGCTATGCCACAAAGTCCTTCCTCCTCAGATATAGCCCTTTGCATCCTGATGTAACCTTGCTCTCCCCATTCAGAGCCCCAAGAGTTCTTAACTATCCAATATTTGGTTCCATCAATAGTTGTTCCATAGCCCACAATAGCTACCCCATGATTCAATTGCTTCCCACAATCTCCAGTAAATACTCCCTGTAATACAAGTCAATGTTTCAAATACATCATTTCTATCTTCTTTCTGGCACTATGGTCAGGGAATTTCTTCCCAAATCGTCGAAGAAACTAGGATCTGCAATTTGCTGGTTGTTGTATCTGAGTAACTTTAAGGAAATAAACTGAAATTTACCTCTGAGTAGAATTGGAAATCAGATCCTCCAGCATCTATGGCTACTGATACAGGCTGGTTGGCAGCAGCTTTGAGCAATGAATGCTCATCATTTTGGGGGACATTCTCATAACCATCAATTGACACTGCTGGATGCTTCTCCTGCGATATTATTAATTGTTAATGAGCTTTTTAGCATCTTAAAAAGTCAGTTAAATTTGGTTGAAATCAATTACAACATAGTATGCCACCTTTGATACATCGCAGGTTTCATCTTCGGCTTTATAGGGGTAATTGCTTTCCGTTGTCAATCCCCCAATTCGCTTGATGAACTCATAGGCATATTCCATTAGTCCTCCATTGCATCCTTCATTTTGTTCAGTGTCACAGTCTACCAACTCCTGCTCAGACAATGAGATTAGCTTCTTTGTTTTGATCTGATTAATACCTTCCACAGCTGCAACAGCTGAAAACGCCCAACAACTACCTGCACAAAACATTAGTGCAGATAATTTAACATGTTCTTGTCATACTAAGGACTATATATATATATATATATATATATATAGAAAAAGCAAATGGTCCTATAATGCGTTTGTATGATTACATTTATATATTTTATTCGTTGTTCAATTCGTTTACCAAGCATTTACATGAATATTTTGCTTACCACATTGGCCTTGATCTTTTACAGCAGTGACAGCACCTTTTTTCCTCCAATCAACTGAAGGAGGAACTCTATCAACTTTCTCGTACATGAAGGTTCCATTCCCACGGGGCGTGCCACGGAACATTCTATGGTGGTTGACCTTTGAGGCAGCATAGGCATTCTGGAACTCATGGTTGGTCATGTCGGCAAACCTGTTCAACTTGAGCTTGTAGGGCTTATCCATCTTGTTGGTGTTATGAACATGGATCGCATTGGCTTTGAACACATTGAAGCGTCTGTGTTTCTCACTTAGGCTTCGAGAAACAGTGTGATGGCTCCTCCATCTCTCGTACAAGTCCCACAAACTTTCCTCTGATTCCAGATCTTTCTCATGCAAATCAAAGCTCTCAGTGACTCCCAGAACTAGTGCTAGTAATATAGCAACACCTAAGAACCTCTTCACTTCCATATTTCTTGGAATTAGATTCAGTGAAAGATGAGAAGAATAGAGCAATTGGGGATGCTATATATAAGGGTATAAAGGGGGAGAGGGATGAGAAATAATTCTATTAAATGATAATTGGGGTTATTACAGGTTACTTGTAAGCTTCAACAATATATGTAATAACCTGATGATTGTAGAAAAAAAAGGATGCATGTAGGTTGCTTATTTGCTGAAACAAATGAATCAAATAAATATCAAATAATCTTTATCTAGATGTGCAGTTATTACAGGTTAGATTCAGTGAAAGATGAGAAGAATAGAGCAATTGGGGATGCTATATATAAGGGTATAAAGGGGGAGAGGGATGAGAAATAATTCTATTAAATGATAATTGGGGTTATTACAGGTTACTTGTAAGCTTCAACAATATATGTAATAACCTGATGATTGTAGAAAAGAAAGGATGCATGTAGGTTGCTTATTTGCTGAAACAAATGAATCAAATAAATATCAAATAATCTTTATCTAGGTGTGCAGTTATTTGTTAACCATTCATATTATTTGCTAACTTTTCACGTCAGAGAAAGTTGCTCTTGGCAGAGCAATTACATTAATGGAACGGAATTTCTAAGGACCAAGTTCTTCCCTTCACGCTAATAATATTATGTACGTTCCAGAGATGAGAGTTAGGCAGGGAAAGTGGGTGAGGAGCATGGTTCCTTCTGGCCATATCCATTATGAGTATAGTAGCAATTGGAGTGAAACATTTTGATATCCAGAACTGTTAACTGACGTGATCGCTTTTTGAGAGAGTTTGGTGAGCATGAACTCACGATCCCCACAAGATGAGCATTGAGTCCAGTTAGTTTTGCTTTCTGTATTTGCAGCTGCAACTGAAAAATAAAATAAAGTGATGTCATATAATGTCATGTTTTGAGGTTGGTTTACTTGGGATCTCTTAAGCATGAATTGATTATGAGTTCTAAGTTCTCATGATTATGTAGAAACTCTTGCCAAGTTTTGAACTTGCACTCAATCATATTTCTATATCCCTCTAGGTAATCATTTCACGTTGCTTTGGAATATGAAAGTTGGCAAGTTCATATGTGAATATTAAGCTATTCGAATCATTAAGCACTTGAATTAACTAGTAAGAGAGTTGTTCTCTCTTGACTAGAAGTCTTGAGTTTGAACTTGATAATACAATGGCGTTAAATACTCGGTGGTAGAGCTGAAAGAGTCCTATACAACTTAATTCTGATTAGTCTAGGCCCTGTGAAGTCGCTGAATTAAAATAGGAAAGCTCAAAAAGAGAGAAATGTATGGTGGGTTTTATTTAACAAGTGAGACCCATTGAAACTTTTTAATCTCTCTCTCTCTGTTTTAAAAAAAATCTTCTCTTAAAATTTTATCGTAGCATAGACGTTTTATTAGAAGGAAACGTGTATTCTTCAATCTTCATCTAATCATCTTCATAGATGAATAATTTCATGAGGAAAAGTGATTTATTCATGCGTTTGTGGCTTTATCACCATTTGAATGCATAGTGCACTGTTGCTTGAAGCTAAGGGGAAGAGTGACGTGATGAGTGGGACACCGGCCACTTGTGGAAATGACAAGAACAGAGTTACTATGCGTCGACTAAGCATATTGTTGGCTTTTGATAGAAGTAGATAAGGCTGGCCTTGTTAACCATTGTGGTCATTCCTGTAACCAAACGGAACGTTTGCACCTCCCAATTCCGTCAGAACATTCACATGTTCCATACTGCCCAAAAAAGCAAAAAAGCAAGATCTTTTCTTTTGCTTAGTCAAATATAACGATAAGATCAAAATAATTATTTAGTTAATATACCTGCTTCTTTTTCAAAAAAAATTATTAGTAGATATCTGTCATCTGATGCAAAGAGGGCAACACCACGAATATGGGCCCTAAAAGGCCCATTATGAGTATAGGGTCGGAAAAGAATTTCTGCTTTTGGTGAACAGCCCGGAAAAGCTTTATGAGAGAGACCACTACAATAATTAAAACTACAAAATAAATTGCCTCCATGTAGGGGCTAGGTTGAGGTGCAGAAGAGAAAAAGATGGCAGCAGAACGAAATGGGCCCTAAAAGGCCCATTATGAAAACAAGCCAGGAAAATATTTGGGAGCTGGCCCACTATAATGCTTTGACAAGCAAACAACCTGCCCCCATGCAGGATCGAACTACAGACCTTCAGTTTACAAGACTGACGCTCTACCACTGAGCTATAGGGGCGTGCTTGAGGCGGCGATGAGAAGAATAAATAATCAAAGTTGTACAGTAATTCTGTATCAAAATCCCACCCGCTCGATCCTGACTTTCCGATTTATGAAACCGTATGCACTTCACTTTCATCCTTTCAGGCCCTAGCCTGTTTCGAGTTTTCTGAGTAATCTTCTAGTGTCTTGATATGGAGGACGTCACTTTTGACTCTGTAAAGCCCTCCAACTTTTGCCTCCATTCTTTTTACTTCTTATTTATTGCAGTTTTCGTTCAAATATATTTGTAATTAATAACTCGTAATTCACATTCATCTTGAAATTTGCTACCCACCAGATTCTGATTAACGCCATTTTCAAGTCCGTCTGGAGCGAAAGGGCTCTTGGTGAGAAATTCTCTTCATCTTTACTTTCATTATTCCTCTTCCTTACTTGCATCGTTCATGTCTAAGTTTTTCCTTATTTCTTTCGTTTACTGTTTTGTTTTCCCCGAATTTCCAGAGCGTGAAAAAGCTGAATTCAACGATGTTTTAGACTCAGAGGTTCAGTTCCTGTCTCAGTTTTCTTCCTTCGTATTTTGCTTCGAGCATATTTTTGGTATTGTTTTTATCATAACTTCTTGAGAATGCGGAACCTGGGAAGCCTGGAATTGTTTTTGCTGGCAGATCTGACTGTGGGGGGCCATTCTTGGCATTACTTGAATAGTTGAATGACTACTCTTCTTTCTTGTGAAAACTTGCTTCGGTTTAGCGCATTCAGGAGACAATTGAAGAGTAGGGTCTTTATGTTGCTGTTATACCACAAGGACTTGTAGTATTTGTGCTTTTGGCATATATTAAGTTTGATATTTGGATTTTTATATGTACAATCATACATTCAATTATGTCAGTGGTACTACATGCTTGATTTCAGCGGTACGAATCAATTTTATTTCATGTTATGCTATCCCTTGCTATAGTTTGAGTCAGATGTAGCTGTGACTGCTGAGTAATTCTCCCTGCTATCATGACTAGTGATCCTGTTCACCTACTTTGCATGGACATTCATATCTTTTCGAATAGCTGCAATGCAGCATTATCCTAATTCCTAAGCAAGACCTACATTCTATTTTAATTCTACATTATGTCACCTGTCTTCTTTATTCACAGAAAATCTTCTCCTTAAATGTTTTTCATGGTCTATAATCTCCGACTGAATTTTGATGCCACAGGCAGGAGCTGGATCATCCAAGAAGATTAGGCCAACATCTGGTATTTATTGCATTATATCACTTTATTTATTTTTTTTGTTTCATAGAGCCTGTGTAGTCACACTAGCATTGCCAGGGTACTGCAAATTGGATATAATAAAATTTTCTCGTCCATATCTTGCAATGCAGCTAATGCAAATGCGCTGAAGCTTAGCTGTGAACTTCTCCGGCTTTTTGTCACAGGTTCATCTATCTGAAAAGAGGAACACCTTTGTCTTTTGAAAGACTTTGAATGTGGTTGACTTTGAATATATTTATCGTATGATTTTGAGTGAAGCTGTTCCATAAATCTGTTGATGCAGAAGCTATACAGAGAGCTGCTGCAATTGCAGAATCAGAGGGCACCGATCAAATAGAAGCTACTCATTTGGAGAGCATTCTTCCTCAGCTGCTTTTGGATTTTTAACGCTTGTGATGACACCTTATATACAATTTTGTCTATATTTGGTCGTCTCTGAGTATGCTGGTCGGATATTTGTAATTTGCTTAGGATTAGTATAGAATAGCTTTTGGTCTTGGAGGACTGTCAAGTCAATGCAAAGTCTCAGTAATATTGTCATCAATTCCTCTATACGATATCTTTCTAGTTCCTTACTGTTTTAGTGGTCTTAAATTGGTGGAAGACAGTAAAGTAGGACAATATATGTATATGTGTATATATATAATAATAATAATATATATATTTAACAGTGACAAATTACATGTACCTGAGAAAACGAAAGACTTGAAGCATATCATTGTAGTACTAAACTTTAACATCACTGTTTATTAGCGGCGGACTCTACTGCCCTAGTGTTAAGAACATTGAGCCCTAGAGAACTAGCAGACACAAACATCATTTCCAGTATCACAAACTATTAATACATGACAAAGACTGAACTTAATACTAAAGCCACTTCTCAATCCAATACTTAAAGAAAGCAATAATGGAAAAGTAATGCTTTCACATCGTCCCTCTGTCACCCATTTCTGAATATCGTCCATAGATGATGTGATAAGCACTTTTACTGAGAAAGAGTTCTATATTAGACATTTCCCTTTTACTCCACACAGCAACGATACATGAAGTACTTCTCCATCTGACGGCCACATTCAGCACATACAACCCTCTCCGGTATGCCTCCTGCAGTCCCAGGAAGGATAAGGCGATTACAGTGATGAGGAGTGTGAAGTTGCTCCAAATAATCCTTCAGTGCTTGCAAAAACCCAACACGTTCAATACTTCCCCTCCAAGTTTCAAACTCTCTAAAGCAAGTTAAAGCTGTATCTCCCTTTGCTCTGGCCATTTCAGTGGCCCCCCTGCAGAAAATTGCCCATCCCTTATCGCTTCCGTCGAAGCTTAGCACAGTCATGACTTCACCCAGAATGGGGTCATCTTCCACACTCTTCCCGTGCTGCAACTTGGAGTATAGCATGCTCTCTACTCTTGCCCAGAAGAACCAGATGGAAGTGACATTTGGCCAGAAGTAACTGAACTTTCTTGTGCCGAAGGTAGTGATCATTTTTTGCATTCTCTCTTTGGCATTACTCTTCCCCACATAAACCATCTCTAAGGGTAAACTTGCAGCTTTTGCAACAGTTGATACAGCGGTTGTGAATGCTTGAATCCAGTCAATATCTTCACTTCCATAAAGGCATACGAACTTTCCTTCTGCCATCTGGTAGAATGGGAAAAATATTAGAACTTTAACGTGGGGCCTTGGAAACAATAGGGATTCATTTTATAAATCGAGTTGTTCCTCCATTAGTGGAGAGAAATAAATTAGGTAGTAAAATTTGAGTTTAAATTAGATTTGAACAGTTTAGACGATATGTATGTGCGATGTATATGATGCGATAAATAAGAAAGGCATTACGGGGAAAAAACATCTAAGTATGTTTTTACCCATTCTAGCACCGCGGGATCAATGCCATCAACAAGTAGCTCCAGGCTCCAAATCTCTGACTTCCACAAGCTTTCCTCTTTTTCGTGAGTGAATGGGAAGGCCACGTTTCCCCATATCCAGATCATGTGAATCGCATTTGGAGATGACAATCTACCTTGTGGATCTAGAGCTACCACTATTGCTTTCTTTGTGAAATTCCAAACTTCTTTGATATACTTAATCACAGCTGGTTCAATGATCATAGGATCACGCACACTGTACCAAGCCATTAATGACTGCAAATGCTCGAACTTCTTTTTGCTCGGATCATTCCAGGTTGCTCTGTCACAACTGGGATCCATACCATTTCATAGTGTGTTCAGCCTAGATCTTGCATCTTTATACAAGTTGTCAAGTATTATGATCTCTTCTTGTGAAAGATCAAGATCTGATATGAGAAGTAGCACATGCTTCCTCCTTAGTACCTCGAACTAACCTGTTAGTCCAGCAAGTGAAATGTTTTTTAGAACTTGAGAGCATGTATGTTAGTATTTGCAGAAGATGATACGTTTTAGAACTAACCCTTGCTCGTTAGAACCGTCTACAAGTGGGGGTGGATCATCCTTGGCGTAGATCAGTGCTCTGAAGATTTTCATGTTGTCTATGTGATTGTCTTGAAAAGACCCATAAGATTATGAAAGGCCTCTATGTGTCTCTTGTCATCTGCATTTGGACAGAAAACAATTGTAAAGCTAGCTTCCTGATCAAACTCTAAAGCATGTTTGGATTAGAAGAATGAAGGAGGAGGATCTTTTTGATCCAATCAAAACCTACATAAATGTTTTTCCACAAGATATAAATGCTAAAAAAACATTTGAAACATCTTCAATATTGGAAATATACATTACTCAAAGGCATTAGAAATCTTTATTTGTCCCATTGGTAATGATACTGACCATCATTTCGTATTTAAGAACTGTGTTCACCTAAACTTAGATTCTTAAACATTCTCAGTATAGAATAATTGTCCTGCAGAGAGTTGTTTTGATTAAAACGACAATATGCTAGTTAAAAACTCACCTATATATTGATGGCAGAATTCCAATTGGTTCCTGAGGTGCTCATATATACTGCTGACTTTATAGGCCAAGGTTGATAATTCCCATGACTCTGTGGTTGGTGAAATGTACCTGTAAAGCATTTTAAAACATCATTTATCATCTTTAAACTGAAAGAGATTGAACCAATTTGAGAGATGAAGTTGCATGGCTAGCTTACTCATTTCTCAAGCCTACAAGGCTAGCAATCTGAGTGGCACAAGCCACAATGCTTCTGATAGTCCAGTAGGTAGCAATAGGAATATGAGCACTGGCTACAGACACAGGAGGAGTGTCCTCTGAAATGTACTCAGACGGAAGCTCCTTGAACTCAATGATGCAGCTTGTTACATCCAGTGTTGCCTTCACTAGCTTATTCACTGCATCGAACTGGGATCTCAGAGAGGTCGAGTCCTCGGCGAGGTCAGGAAGTTGCTTAAGTAGAGCCACAGATTTGGCAAGTGTATTTGCAACACTTTGTTGTGAAACAAGCCAGAATTCCCCAAAGTTAACAGCAAAAGCTGCTAGGGTCAACACAACTTTTGCATGCCATGGATAACTAGACAGGATGCTCAATATCACCATTGTTGTTGCGTGTGCATCTCCACCTCCTGAGCACTTGCATGTCAGCTGCCAATTTACACATATTTAGGGGTCATTTGATACGCAGAATAAGAAGTAACGAAATTGAAAATAAAAACTAATACAATAAAATTTAGAATGAAATATAATCTCACGTTTCTACTTAAATACCCCTTCCATTCTTTTTTGTAAGTTATCTTTAACTAATTTATGTATATTAAAAAATTGGCTAAAATCAGTTGGCTTTAAAATTAGGGTTAATTAATCCGCAAGTCCTTATAGTTTCAACGAATTTTGAATTAGGTCTCTATAGTTTTTTTTCTTTTTATCAGGTCCTTATACTTTTACCTTTTTTTAATTAGGTCCTTATATTTATTTTTCTTTTAATTAAGTCCTTATAATTTCACTAAATTTTTAATCAGGTCCATGTAGTTTTAATTTTTATTTATTAATTAAATATAAGCTTAATTAAATAGATTAATACTGAAATATAAAATATTAATAATTAAATTAAATTAATAATTATGTAATAAAAAAGTAATAGAATTAATTAATTCAGGAAAATTTTTTAGAACAATTAATTTTTTTGCTGAAAAAATTAAAATCATTATAATAATTCAATATCTTTAGAATATTATTGTTTATAAACTAATATTAAATAATATATACTATTTTATGTTTATATAATAGTACTATTAGAATTTATAAAATAAAGAATAAAAAATTCAGCGACTTAATTAAAAATAAGGTGAACTTATAAGGACTTGATAAAAAGAAAAATAAATACAAAGACCTAATTAAAAACAGGTGAAAGTATAAGGACCTGATAAAAAGAAAAAAAAACTATAAGGAGCTGTGGATTAATTATCCCTTAAAATTATGCTATCTTTCGACAAATACTCTCAATTCTTACTTATTTCCCTCAATCCGTCTCCCTATCAAGGGTACTAGTTTTGGGGGGGGGGGATTCCACTGTTCACAGATTTGTAGAAATGACTTTACATAGGAACATGAAAAGCCGTCAAAAGATGACTTAATAGATATGAGGGTAGAGTAAGATAGAAGAAGCTATCCTATTGAATGTAAATAATCGTTGATATTTTAACATTCAATGTAAAGACTCACTAGGTCAGAGTATACAAGTCTGAACAAAAGCAAGTGATATTAGTCTATACTTGCAGTATATTCGACCAGATTAAAGAGTGAGTGCGACAAAGAAAGCAAATTAAAGCTAAGTGTTTTTATTTCCTATATAAATATTCGTGTATGTTTCCATCTGAGCATGTGCTTTTTGGTTTAAGGCAATGGCATGCTTGTGAAGAAAAGTATATTCTCTGCAAAAGCTCAAAGGGGAAAAGAAGAAATGCAACATGGGAATCATCACATGGGGTCAACTTTTATTCTTAACAGCAGCAATAAATAGTAATTAAGGTAAAAGCTGAGATGATTTTTGCCGTCAGAGAAAACCTCGCAGGAAATTTTGTGCACGAGAAAAGCCAGTGAGTCAAGCATGTCAAATTCAGCAAAAGCCGCAGCCTTCTCCATGTCGGCTTCTAGTCGTTTTCCCTACAAAATAATCAACCACAGCAGCTTACTCATAAAAGATCACTCGATTTTTTCAAAGTATTTCTCACTCACAAAAGCCTCTTGCTGTAGATTGCTCTGGTCAATATGAATATACAAATACACACACACACACACTCACACGCGCAACAGCACAACACTGACCTTACAATTCAAACGAAGTACTCCTCCGGTCCTTAATATAGGACTTAATTGTTGAGTTGGTTTTGGTCCTAAATATAAGACCCATTTATCATATTTATCAATTTTCTCTAAAATACCCTTATGGATACTCCCTCAACCATGATCAAGTAGAAGAGGGAGATGAGGTATTAAGAAAGATGATTATGGTATTTTAGGAAAAACATGTCACATTTCTTATAATTAACTAACTTACCTAACTTCCTTAATCTAATCAAATTAGTTAAATGGATCTTATATTAAGGATCGGAGGAGTAATTAAATATAACACGTGGAATTGAATTTGATTATGAAAACACATGCACGTCCAAGATTATGAAGCTGTTTGCAACAGCATAAAAGAAGCGTTTTTGCACTTTATGGCACAAAAATCCTCTTACATGTTTACCTCAAACAGGGCAAAATCGCCTCAAATAAAGCTAATCCGAACAAGCACTATCCTGCTAAAAGTGTTATATATATCGCAGACATAATATGGAAAGACGAGAGAGAGAGAGAGAGAGAGAGATGGGGTACATGGAGGTCACCAGTCTCAATGCTACCAGCAATGGAATGAATGAGGATCTCCTCAACGATATGGATAATGGGCCTGACATCAACTTCACGACCGTCAGGGGCATGTGTGGCCTGAATTTGCTTCATTATGGCAGTGTCATCGGACGTTGAGAACAACCGACGCTCTCTCTTCTGAGCTTGTTGTCGTGCCTTCATGCTGGCCATGTCTCCGACAACCTTGCTAAACAAACGATGTATAAGAAACACACAACAGGAGGCAGTGTTTGGTATGTGAGTAAACGTGGTTGTACACATATAACTACGGCCTTATATAGCGTCAGGAGGTGGAATAAAGCCTTATTGAACAAGTACCTTGCTTGCAGTGGAGTATAAAACAAAAGCTAAAGTGACTATCATATCATGTCTAGGCTTAAATAGCTAGCTACATATGGTGGACCCTCCATGCATATATAGTTATATACTGCCTCATTAATCACTTACCCTGTGAGACCAAAAGTGTCAGTTCTTATCCAAATTAACGTTAGAGAGCTTTATTATGTAGCTTTATTAAGTTTGATCATTTTACTCCTCCGGTCCTTAATATAAGACCTAATTCTTGAGTTGGTTTTGGTCCTAAATATAAGACTCATTTCTCATATTTATCAATTTTCTCTAAATTACCCCTATAGATACTCCTTCAACCATAATCAAATAGAAGAGGGAGAGGGGGTATTAAAAAAGATGATTATGGTATTTTAGGAAAAATGTGTCACTTTTCTTATAATTAACTACCTTACCTAACTTCATTAATCTAATCAAATTAGTTAAATGGGTCTTATATTAAGGACCGGAAGAGTACTTGTTTAATGAAATTGTCTGATGATTTAAAAAAAAAAAAAAGATGTAGCTTCATGACATCAGGCTGTCCGTGTCAATATGATTACCTCATCCGTTCAAAAAGAAGAATTACTCCAAATCTTTGGCCTGAAGGTTGGCATATATAAAATGGAGAAACTGAGCTTAAAACAAAGGCCTATGTTTTGGTTAGGTCAATTTATGAAGGGTTATAATGATACGGTGGATACAGGTGTCTTAGCTGTTCTTCTATAATTACATGACAAAAGAACAAAGTGCAGAAAGAAAGAGCTATCTTCAGTATCATTTTATATATACTTGTTTAACTATTGGTTGCTTGGCACTATGGGTTGTTGGGGAACCTTTCCCTGCAGGAGGAAAATTGTAAAGGAATATAGGAAAATGTGGTGCTAAAACCAGTCCTCAATTAATTTTAATAAAGATAAACAGATGTAAGTGCACTGCAATCTCATATAAGTTATATGTTCATTAATATTGATAACAATTAAATATTTTTTGTAAGTGTTGGAAGCTTGAGCCTGCAAACAGACTTTTCTTAAAAAAAAATCAGCACCCACACATATATTTATAATTAAAGATTTGTTGATAAATTATGAATGAATTTTAAGGATTTTAAAAATAAAAAACTATATTAAATTAAAATTTTAAATTATGGCATTAAAAATTAAAATTTGAAGAGGATGGTATTTCTAAAAGTGGGGGACAACTCTACTTTTTTTTTCCTGATTGCCCCACCAAAAGGAAAAATTCCTTTTTTTTTAGTACAAAAATTTTAGGAAAGAAGCTTGGCTCACCTACGATTAAAGACATGACATCTAACGCTTGATCCACCGAGACCTGTCCTGCAGGGACGGGAGCATGACAAGCAAGCTTTTTTTTTTCTGCCCAATAAGTAGAAATCTCCTAATTTCACTATGCTGTGGTGATACCTCCTCTAGCACCGCGACTGGAGCCACAACAAAGTGGCACTTCTTAAGAACAAACTCCCTCCTTTTGGTGACAGAATCCGATCCCTTCGCCAGCTGAACCCATGGACAAGGGGTAAAGGAAAAATCCCAAATCAAGCCCAAAACTGTTTTTAGAAAAACACTGTTTTGAGCAGGCCCAAAATAACATAGTGGACCATCAAAGCCCATATATGCTACTTTGGACCATAAAGCCCATATTACGGTAAAGGAAGATTTGTTCACACGTGTATAGAATATGTTCAGTGTGAGAAACGGCGAGAACACTAGAAATGCTACTATCCCCTGCTTTTGCGTATGCACGCCCTCTCAAGCATCTCTTCACTTCGACTCTCTTCCATCATCGTACAACCTCGCGCTCTCTGTTAGCTCAATCCGCCATTATCACCAGCTCTACTTTCCTCACGGGGAACTTTCGGTCATCGAGGATGCAGGTACCTTGTTTATCTCGCTCTATAGTGTTTCCAATTGATCATTGCACTGGAATCCACTTAGAGCAACCGCTAAATTCCTATCCTTGCGCCCTCGTAATCGTTTATATTTCTGGTTGAATTGGTGATCGTCATTATTGTTTTTTTTTCCCCCGACTTGCGTAATTTTAGCTTTCGTTTTCTATCGACTGTTAGGAAGTCGTTTAATTCGTATTGATCCGCTTTTAGTTTCAAGGTATAATTAAGCTATTCCATGGAATTGCTGGATCATTACCTGTTAATCTATGTATGGAACTGGAGGTTCCTTTTTCACCAGATGGAAAGTTGTGAACTCCAACTCTTTGTTTGGGTCGTCATGAATTATTTCAATTAAAAGGAGGGGGAACCTGCGGAACATACGGCAACCGAAGAAATTCAACTAAACGTATAAATTTGGTTGATCATGTAGTGAGGGATCTTTCACAAATCTCGATTGAGCCTTTAACATCCGGTGATCTGGAAACGCGTAGGACTTTGACATTTTAGGTGGTAATTTTATGTTGTAGGGAGAAATCATTTTTGGACCCTCATCCTGGTAATTAGCTGGGATAATGGCCTTATTGATGTTCAAACCTAGAAGAGCGTTTCACTGATTCGATGTGAATCGAAAATGTTCTTTAATTATTGACTCCGGTTATTTTAGTGGTGGTGTCTTTTGTGTTGATATAGAGGATTGGCCCTTGCTATGAGGTGTATGTAATATACTTTTATTTGGAATTTTTAATAAATGAATGTCAGGGTCAATTTTATCAAGTACTGTGGACACGCACGTTTGTGCTGCTAACTTATGGTGGGGCTTATTGCACCCTCTCTATTGGTCACCAACATAATGCATGCCCAATAGCCCTGGATCAATATACTAGACCCTTTCTCTTCTCTCATGAAGAGTCTGTACAACACGACAAGGTATCTGAATTGATGGTTATAGATTTATGTTCTAATAGGAAGTAGGTAATGCCGGTGTCAAGACTTGATTGCTTTTCATAGGTCCTTACTTTCTTCAGATCATAATTTTGGCATTTCATCTCTCAGTGCTCACCACCCAGGGAAGGGGGGGAGGAGAATCTGTATTAATACGTGTTTATGCTCCATGACCTTGCTCTCTCTTATCAGTATATGGAAGAAAAAATCACTTAAATTATTTTTCCCTGGAATTGCAGCAATTCTGTGCTGGGAATAGCATTGGTAAAAACAAAGCAATGGTGGAGAATTTGCAACGCTATGGAGTAATATCATCGAAAAAGGTAGCTGAGGTTATGGAGACTGTAGACAGAGCTCTGTTTGTTCCTGATGGAACTCCACCTTATGTTGACAGCCCTATGGCAATAGGCTACAATGCCACTATATCTGCACCTCATATGCATGCCATGTGCCTCCAGTTGCTGGAGCAGAATTTGCAGCCTGGAATGCATGCTCTGGATATTGGATCTGGTATATTTCATGAACTTCAGCTCTCTTATTCATTCTATCAGGTCTTGAATAGAATATCTTATGGGGCAACGCAGTTGCTTGTTTGATAGTGATTGAGAATCCTTATGCTGACATGAGTCATAATTACATAAGATATTTAAGTGATTTTGTTTTTCAGCATTTTTGATAGATTCTATTTTTCTTTTCCATCATGTTCACCATGTCCATACTGTCAAATATTTTGCAGGAACTGGGTATCTTACAGCATGCTTTGCTTTGATGGTTGGACCCCAAGGTCGTGCTGTTGGCGTGGAGCATATTCCTGAATTAGTTTCTTCTTCATTGGAGAATATTCAGAAAAGCGCTGCAGCTCCGCTGTTGAAAGATGGTTCCCTCTCTGTGCATGCTGGTGGTATGATTTCTAGAGTGGCTTCTGTTTAAAATTTAGCACTGCCTAAATTCAGAAAATTCTCTTTCGTCTGATCTAGATAGCTGTGACATTAGACTTGGTGTGTTTGATTACTTATTATTTTATCAAGCCCTTACAACAAACAAAGGGAAATATAATTGCCCAGATGATTTTGATTTAGGTGTCTGAAGTGATTAGTCAACTAACCTGGCCAATTGGCCTCTGCCATTTGGTAATGAGTTTTGTTTGCAATCCTAAGGCAAACACAATAATGTCCATATTCTGTGATGTTAACATCTTTCACTTGTGGTGGCAGCTGTTTGGTTGTTATAATATATACTACATCCGAATCTTAATATAAGAGATAACTAATTTATAAATATTAAGAAAGTTAGTTAAGTTAGATAACATCTTTTAATTGTAATAAATGTGTTAACTTCCTTAAAATATCCTTGTTAATCATTGATGTTTTTGTAAATATATGGTGGCAAAATAGATAAATATAAGAGACAAAATAGATTTAGGTCTTTTATTTAGGACTGAATTAAATCTACAACTAGCTCTTGTAGTGTGTGTGTATTTCTTGAGCAATTAAATTACAATTTAGTGATCATTGTGTGACAGATGGAAGAAAAGGTTGGCCAGAGCATGCTCCGTACGATGCCATACATGTTGGAGCAGCGGCACAGGAAATCCCTCAAGCGCTCATAGACCAGTTGAAGCCTGGAGGTAGAATGGTGATTCCTGTTGGAAACGTATTTCAGGATCTAAAGGTTATTGACAAAAAATCTGACGGTTCTGTCAGCGTGCGGAGTGAGACTTCTGTTCGGTATGTGCCTCTCACAAGTCGGGATGCTCAACTGCGAGGTTATTGACCTCGGGGCAAAATCCTGAGTTATAGAAGAAGGCTTCTGCCTAATACAAATGTTTCGGTTTCTTATAGTTGGATGTACAACTTGCTGTAAGAAGTTACGTGGTAGAAGTTGATGTTTCCCTTCTCCCTATGAATAGTTTGTGATCATCATGTGGTGTTATGATAACATAACAGATAATGACTGCCATCTGTACAGTTTTATTTCCTTTGAATACATTGGATAGATCATATGTAGTTCAAGTATTGCTGCTGCACCCTTATTTTCCATGGATCAACAGAAGGGACGTGGTACGTGGAAATGAGGAAAGCCATGAAGGCAGCGAGTGTAGGGAGTAGGGGATGGTGGAGCAAAATGCCCTTATGGAAGAAGATAGGGGAGCAAGTAACCAACACTCTACACCACTAACGTGGAATTCCTCCAGTAATTAAAAATACATAAACGAATATGAAACTTATTTTTCTTCACAGATTTTCTCCTAATCATCATTAAAAGAAATGCGAATCCCGCGACACCATCCCTGAATATCTAATAATCATTAATCCATTCACAATTTTTTCGAAAAATAGCTATTTATTAGAACGTCATCATGAGAAACTCGTAAATCCATTTTGATGCAGCAGCAACAGTAACGCTGCACGAGGCGACTCCAATCTTTGAATGAGAAGCCTTAACTGTTTCTGTTTGCATTCAGAGAACTTCAACAAGTGACCGACGTCTTCTGCTCCAGTTGCATAAATTACATTCCTTTCGTAATTAAATAGCAACAAACATATACTTTAGGATCTCTGGAACCCCAAATCATAACTTTAATCATATTTATCAGCACATCAAATTAATTAGAGTGACATGTAAATCTAAAAAGCAGGCTAGCAGCAGTAATAAATTAACAAGAGGACACAAAAAGACAAGACAACAAAAAAGGGGAATATTCGAGGAAGAAAATTGGCACTATATTATTCTCAGCTATGAAAAAGAACCCAAATAGCAGCTGATCCAGCGATTACTTAATCACCAATCAAAAGCCGCCACGCCTTGGCCTTTCCTCAGCAACATTCACTCTAATTGCCCTCCCGTCCAAACTCTGCAATGGCAGAACCAACAACATATCAGATAATTGACCCATTAATAAAACCCAAGCACAAAGCAAGCACTTTTGTACAACACCCACGTGGTCGGACCTCCAAAATAATAGGGAAACTGAACACTAGGCAACTTGAAAAAAAAGTATGGAGCCAAAATTAAAAACTTGGAATATTCAAACCTAGCTTTCCCCAACTAAATCCCATGCAGTGATACAAAGGATCCATTTCAACACAAACAGACACTGTTGCCTTCAAGATCCAGCACCAAGCACATTTATACTACCAATGCATGTTACTTCAATCAAGCAATAAAGCAGGAATGTGATACCTGGCCATCAAGAGCAGCAATGGCATCGTTCATTTCTGTTTCACTGGACATTGTGACAAAGCCAAAACCACGAGATCGACCAGTCTCTCTGTCATAGACCATCCGAGCACTCACAACCTTACCATGTTCGCTGAAAATCTGCTCCAGGCGATCATTATCGACATCCCATGGCAAGTTGCCTACATAGACTCTAAAGGATGGTTCAAAGACCCGGGGTGGGCGTTCAGGCTCTGTTCCTCTTGGAGCAGCCTTGTTAACAGTCAACAGTCTTCCATCTAGATCCTGTTAAATGAAGCCAATAAGCATTAATGAACTCCCAAAAAATCACAAAAAAAGGGTAATGCAGGATCAAAAGCAATCATTGCAGCTTGCACTTCTACATGTAAATAAATTGTAAGACATATCTTTGGGAAGGAGGTGTAGGGTGTGAAACTAGCTCCCCTATGAAAATAGACAACTCCAGGATCGACAATAAAAAATATCAAAAGCATAGTTGAATGAGCTATGGAGCCCCAGTCTCAGCGTGTAATTATATGCCAAAGTAGAAACCCACTCAAATGTCATTAAACACTAACCACCAATTCTGCGTCTCAGGTCTGAACACTTATTTCTTCGCAATATGCAAATCTCCAACAGTTTTACCATGCATAATGATAAAAGAAGGGGATAACATCTAGTCTCTACATCCTGTTGCAAGATTAGTTAGCCTTGAAAACCGATTGTTCTACATGTTTAGTTGACCACTTTAGAAAATAGAGTAACAACAGACAAAAATACTTATTCACTTTATTCCTCTCATCTCTATAGCCTCAAGTCAGCCCCTTAACACCTAGTGTTAAGCATATATTACTACTATGATAATTGTACGTAGCATTTAGATTTTAGTTCTTCTTACATAGATAAATGAGGATTGCAAGATAGTATAAGAACTGTTGCAGATCAGGAAAGGTGAGAAGACACTGCTGAAAGGGGAGGGGGAATTGGAGAGGAGATATTATGCAAGTCAATTAACCGATGTAGTCTGCATGGAAGAAACGTATCTGAAACAATAACAGGACTGACATTTCCTTTTTTCCCCCTTCTTTCTGATGAGGTATGGGTGTCAACAGAGGAAGGCATACAAATGGGCCTAATTTTATCTGCTAGAATGGCAGGAAATCAGGAACATCTTAACAAGTAACACTTACCATCCACCTTTTAATCCCACAGAAATGTTTTCTAGCCCAATATTTTTATCATAGTACAAAACTGAATCAATCTCAGACTAGCCTTACCATACAGTTCAACTTCAACTGGATTATTTTGTGTTTGGAAAAACCAAGTAATCCGAGTAACTTTATCTCAAAAATTGCAAAAGCCTGTTTTTGCTAAGCAGCATCCATTACTTTACAAGTTCCTGTCTTCTTTGGTTAAATAGCATCCAGATGGAATAAGCTCCTACCCCTTGGAAATCTATATAAAATTGAAAAACCCTTTCCTACAAATTTGTGTTTACTGTTCGGTCATTATGGGAACAAAATGGCTGCCTTTTTCCCTTGACGGATAAACAAGCGTTAAAGTCCATAACTAGTTTTTTGTGTTAAACAAACAAAATAATATGAACAGCTTACGTAGCGATGGAACTTTTCGACAGCTTTCTCTGCTTCTTCAACTGTACTCATCGTTACGAATCCGAACCCACGACTTTGGTCAGTGCTCCTATTATAAATAACCTACAACCACAAAAACCAAATGAACACTCCCACGAAAGCTAAAACCTCAAGCACCACCATGGCCATAAAGACGAGGCTTAGCTATCGGAAGGTTGCTCACCTCGGCAATTTCCACCGTTCCGGCCTGCTCAAAAAGCATGGCTAATCTCTGACTATCAACATCATAAGGCAAATTACCAACAAAAAGTTTTGCATCTTCGGGGGGTTCTGGAAAATCCCCGTCCTTCAAATATTCATCATCTTCATTGCTCTCTCCTTCGCCCTCGCTACCCTCAACTCCTGCGCCTTCACCCTCAACCTCCCAATCCGAAAGACGAGCTTCTGCGTCATCCACGCCTTGGCTTTCCTCTTCATCTATGGTGACGGTGTTGTCGTCGTCCTGCTGAGCCCAGTCCGAAGTCTGGGCTACAAATGTGAGTATAGATAAATTGCGGGTTTTCCTAGTGAGGGATAGAGATGGTAGAAAGAGGGAGGAATTGGAGCAAGAGACCTGAAGTTTAAAAGGTTTAGAAGGAATGGAGATGAAAGGGTGCTTGGATTTGTTGCAGGTTAAAGAGGGCAGCGAGAGAAGGCGTAATTCCGCCATTGTTAGGGTCTTCAAGGAAGGTATAGACGTGATAGACATACCTTTATCTCTGAGTAGAAGAAGAAGAAGAAGAAGGGGAGGGTTTAGAAGAAGGTTAAGGATAAGGGACAGGAAATGAAGGACTCTGCTGGCAAGTAGAGGAGGGGCGAGAGCGGAACCAGAAACCAAGAAATGGCAGATAGTTCCTAAAGGTACTTGGGCTTTGATATTTTTGCATAATGGGCTTTTACATACTCCCATAGCTTACGTGCTGATCCACCGAATCCATTTTGTTTAGATTTTTATATTTTTTTCACCCAAAAAAAAGTATGTATTCTGTAATTTTGCTTCCTCATCCTCCTATTTTTAGATCAAAATCTTTGATTCTTGTCGATAGAAAATATTTTGCAAGATTTAATTAAAATATCTTCTTACTCATTTCCAAAAATATCATTCTGTATTTCGTGTTTGGCTTGATAATTTTTATATTCCTTTTCACGCTCCCTAATGAATTAATATCTCAATCAAAGGGTAGTTTTGGATAATTATTAAAAAAAATTAAGATAATTTTAATTAATTTGTTTAATTTCATAAAAGTAATTAGTAGGTTTCTATAAAAAGGACACAAACCCTCTAAGAAGTTTTTTCAAATGAATTATGGATCATTGATTAATATAAAAAATTCGGCACTGAAGAACCATGAAAGTTTATTTCAATTTTAAATATAAAACCTCAGTTTCTTATAATTTTCTTTGTTCAAACAGGCATTGAAGAACCATAAAAGTTTATGGATCATTGATTAATATAAAAAATTCGGCACTATAAAAGAGTCTCCCAAACTTGACGCTACGAGATCAAAGGAAAAACTTATTTTCTTTTTTCAATTGTTTAATGGCCAATTTTTTAAATCTTGCATGTGATTATAAAAAGGAAATATATTTTGGAAAATAAGCCCACATCTTTTACAAATTAAAAATAATTGCGTCTTACATTTGGGAATGAAAGAACAATAGTTCATAAAACTTGTCACTTGCTTATAAAAAAATACATAACAACAAAAACTTAAAAAGTTTATTTGAGATCTTTAAAATTTATGACTTGAAATTCCCTTACCATCCCCCCGAAATATATTAATTATAGTTCTTCGCGCTATGTTCAAGGTAACCAAAAGAGAGAGAGAAAAAAAAAAAGCAAGAATACACACACATATAATTTCCACGGCATTCGAGTTCAATTCGTAAACTGTGGCTTTGAATTTGAAATTAACTCTCATTTTAATTATGCAAAAATAGTTAATTACAATTATCTTCAATTCAAATTGAAGAGCTTGACCACTACTAGAAAAAATCGTATTATCAAATTTAAAATGCGAAGTTTTTCTTTACATATTGGCAAGGGGTAGAAAAGTAACAACCACGAATAATCAAACTAGTTAGCTTGAAAAGTAATAAACTTAACGTAAAAACATCAATATATAAACTCAATTTCTCTCAAATTGCCTTCGCCTTCGCCTTCAAGTTCAATTGTTAACAACTTATCCTCAGCACTGTACGAGAATTCCTTCTCCTTCCTATCCAGCGTACAACGTTTGGGACTTGTGCTTGAGTAGGCCCCAAAACGACCAGACCCTCTTGCTTTGATTTTAATAATGCACTCTGAAATGTCAATGGCAGAGTCCAGAGCTTCTACTGCTCCTCCTGAGTTATACATATCAAGCAATCCTATTGGTGCAAATTGGACATCATTACCAAAAACCTGTTCACAATAGTTAACATGATTCATGTTAGGTACAAATGAATTTTCGATAAGCAGTACTACTGTCCTAGGTTGTTACTTGTTCTGCTAGAAATACCAACCCTGATTGGAGATACTGTGTATATTTCACATTTAAGGGTCTCCAAAGATACTTCGAGTTTCCCTCTCAATGGCAATTTGTATAGCAAGCCTGCAATGCAATATGTATTTAGTGTATCGCTATCATGCTAGTGACATTGGAACTACCAATGGCCTTGTAGTCTAATGGCATGAAAATTCCCTACTAAGTGAAAGGTTGTGGATTTGATCTCACTTATAACCTCAGATCATTAGTTTATACGCTTCTAAATGGAGAGAGAAATTAGACACTAATTTAGACTGGCTGGTACTAGCCCAATCTAAATTAAAGACTTGAGGCAAAAAAAAAAAAAAGAGAGAGAGAGAAGTGATTGAGTTGAAATCAGTACCTGCATTGGAGGCATATACTGCACAATCTCCATTCCAGTTTTCACCGGCAACAACATCCTCAAGAAATTCAACATCCAATGGCCTAACTTTGCCAGTGATGTTTATGTGAGTAGTTGTTGCTTCCACTGGTTTCAATGGCCAACTTCCAGCTCCTTGACAATTAAACACTCCTATCACTCCTGTTAGCTTATTCAAGTTCCAAATCTTCAACAAACTGCACAAAATTATTTTAGAAGTACTGGTTATTTCAGTGAAGAACAAGTTAGAAAATTCTGTTCATTCTGAGAATCTGATAAACAAACATCTTTTTCTCACCTTCTACCATCCATAACTGGATCTTCAAACAAGCAATCTCGAGTAGGACGACCTGCATATCTTGCCCTTAAGATGGATCCATCGGGCAGTGCCAGCTTCTTAAGGATTTTAAAATCATGATTTCCAGGCTTATCACTGTGATATGTTGAAATATGGCAAGATCTTTAATTCTCTTATTGCGAACTAGTCTCAGGAGATAATGAGTTTTCACCTAAGAAAAACTTAAACAATTCAGACGAAATTATCCATGATATGATTCTTTTTTTGACTCACCTCACATACACTGAACAACCACCTATTGCTCTAGCTGCACCATGGAATTCAGCAGTCTCATGCTTGCTCTGCAATAAAAATCATTGGATTTCAGAGTCTTGCTTAGCAGAATTGAATTATCTTGAAAAATGAATTGCTTGAGATATCTTACATGGAACATGTCCCAATCTGGCACCACTATCTCCCCAAGAAGAAGACTGTTAAAAGCTACCGAGGCAACATGTAAGGTTTGCAGTCTAGGTTCTCTTGGCATGAAATCTTCTGATGCTCTTGCCGATGCACTCTTCCTTGAACTAATAATTCAAAATGTAACAATAATTACTCGTCAAAACCAACATCCTGAAAAGTTCTGAGGCTTATTTCCAGAGAATAAGGAAAAGAGACAAACCTGTAAATAGAGTCTGAATTATGAGACATGCAGCAAATAAGGTTATTGTCCTTGAAATTCCTTGCTATAGATTGCTCTAATGCTTCTTGATAACTCCTGGTCAATGAAACACGTCCTCCATATCCAGAGCCTAAAGTTTCTATCAGATTCTGGACATCAACTTTGACTCCATCCACACCACAACTTGCAAGATAACTATGATAGTCATTGTAGAAGTTGAAGATCTTTTCTGGTTCAATGATTCCCACTCCATATTTTTCCAAGCTATCCATGGCTATATCTCTAAGGTTCCCTGTGTTACCAGGTGACTGAATTGGATATGCGAGCTTTGGATTATACTTCTTCATTGCATCTGATGATGGCATCACTCCTCCCCAATAACCAGCTAAAGCATGCCACACGTAAATGTACCTGCAAAATTGTAGTCATTATCAGTAATTTTAACTATCATGCATAAAAGTTCGCCAAAAGTACATATCACTTTGTGATAGGCTGGTTCTTCCAATCCTTTATAGGTCAGGTCTAGCCAAGAATCCCTTTCATTCACTACTAAGTCTCTTGAGTTTATCAGCAAATGTGACAAGGAGTAAGAATGGATGATCATCCTCATAGAAATAAGATAGCTTACTTTAGTCCAAAGTTGTCTTTGATGGAATCAACAAAGTCATGCAGATTGGTATATGGACTGTCCGAGGTTGTACTCCTGAACTTGCTATTTTCTTTTATGTCTGTCAGTCTGGCTGCAAACCTACAATAGTTCGAAAGAGGAGAGCATGAAGAGTAAGAAATAGAAGGGAAATGAATGTTGATATGAAGAATGATGGATACTCACTGCGTTCCTTCAATATATGGTTGACCTTCTTTCTGGAACTCATTGACTGTATCTTGCCATCCATCATCAATGATCAGAAACTTTGGTGAACAACCTCCTTGTGAGAAACTGTCGAGTCAAAGGCATAAACGTCATTTCACATCCTCAATATTTAAAGAGTATTGCATTACTGAAGTTGGTTGATAATGTACCTTTGAAGACCCTCTCTTATTCCTTGTGGACTTACATCAGCGTAAAAAGCATCCCAAGTACACCACCCAAACCAGTCAAGATGTGCTGGGGTCTTCTTGTTCTCAATATGACTAAAGGTTCCTTTGCATTTCTCCAATACCCTACATTTAAAAATTGAGAATTTTGATATCTTATGACACATAGTCCTGAATCCAGAAGCACAGAATAAGGAAATTCCAGAAAAAGAAGGTACGTACTTGATTGAATCCCTTATTAACTCATATGGGTTGTCCCCTGAATTCACAAATACTGCTTCTAGTGATTCTGAAGTTTGGACATGAGCATCTCCTGCGACATTGAAAAGTGAAACCAGAAACTTTATGTTGTTTGGCATACAAGTAAGCATGTCAGAAACCTGAAATAGAGATCTTTCATGAACTAAAAGCTAAAAGTAGAAGTAACAAACCACTTTCAATGCAGAACTGGAGCTCATTTGCTGGAGTTCCTTGCAGAGTTGCACGAAACTGTCCATCCAAAACAGGCAAGAAGAGAATATAGAAGGTGTTATCTGGTGTTGAATCCTCTGAATCAGAGGAAAACTCATCATGCAAAGCAGAATACTGGGTCGCTTCTAGAAGCAGGAATTGAGTTTCCATGGGAATTTCACAACCATTCTTCCCTACTCGCGGTATCATCCACCATATTTTCACTCTGAACAGAGACAAGAACTTATATCCCCTGCAATCAGTTCATGCATTCCCTTCAGAAAATTCTGTGCATTGGTTCTTGGTTTGTTAAAGTGATAAAGCAATCAAGATAAATTACAGAGACATACTCGAGGAGTCCAAGAGGGAAGACATGACGACAACTTAAAATCCCACAAGTTGCACCTAGAAAAGCTGACCCCGTGCCACCAACCGGAGAAACGACGATGTTTTCGGGGACTTGGGTCAAAACCGCCTTCCCTCTCACCACAAGGCATCCGTCCTTGACGGTCGGCTCCGCCGTGATTGTCATCTTCAGCGAGCAACCCAGCCGCGTACAGAATGAGAATGTTAAGGCTCAAGAAGACTGTAGAAGATCAGATAAATGAGAAACGGAGAGCAGAAGAAACGTGAGAAAATAGAATCTGTTGAAGCAGGAAACGAACACGCTTCGTAAATTAACAAGATGGGTATTTAAGGTCAAGGGTGACAAAAATGTAGGAACGGAGAACCCATGGTCAACAAGTTCGGTTGTTGCGGTTACAAGCGGGAAAACTCGTGTTTCTTTGCTGTGGATAAGGTTGAGCCTTGGGATAATACTCGTATTAATTTACCATGTTGCTGAATTGAGGATAGTGTCACATCATAAAATAATGAAATTGTTCAGAATTTGACAAAACTGAGTACTGCTTGCTTTAATGCAAGAGGGAGCTGGAGAACAGTTCAGAGAAACTCGGTGCCGCGTCGAGGACACGTCGTTTTAATTCAACTACAGGCGAAGCTAGCCTCTCTGGAAACCGGAAACTACGAAACTTGGATTGGAAAGCCAGTGAAAAATATTAAAAGATATTTTTTTTTATAAAAAAAAGTAGGAGATAATGACTTCATTTCATGGATCCTGACAAGAACACAAGCATGTAAGATCAGAATGGTAGTGAAATTCCATGGAAACTCAATAGAAAGCGTCGCCGATTTTCAGAAGAACAAATATAATTATTTTGTTTCTATCAAATATATTATTTGAATGAAAGAAAGACTCGAATTGTTTTGTTCAAATGCTACGAATTTAAAAAATCACGTTAAGATGGGATTGGATACTCTCATAGTCCCTTTCTTTTCTTTTCTCCTCTTAATCTCATCTTTATTATTGGATAAAAATATGCATGGTTCATATTTAATATTTTTAAAAATGGATATTCATTCTCTCTTTTATCATCTTTGTGTGATATACGCTTGAATATGAATTGATTTTCTTATTCTCTCTCTCCTCTTAATGTTATATAAGCTTGAATATAATTTTTTTTCTTTTACAAAATGAATATGAATTTATTAAATGTCGCCAAAACCAGAATATGAATTGATTACTTATGGAAAAAAACGTAGGAGAAAAAAAGAGATATTAATGGAATAATGGGGAGAGGTCTGGAGAGTTCGAAGTTGGGAGCGGATGACGATGGTTCAGAGGGAGGTGGCGCTGAGTTGGATCCAATGGGAAGTCGCTCCTTTTTTTTTTTTTTGACCATTAATGGTAAGTCGCTCCCGGTTTTGTTGGTTATTAATTTCGCACGTGCCTCAGGCTCTCCTACGCGTATCCGACTAACATACGTGTGGGTGTGCACGTTCCAATCCAGCGTCACCCCTTGCGTCATTTTACTTCACCCTTTTGAAATCTGAATTAATTAATTCAAGTAGATTGATTATGTTAGTTAAAGTAGTTAATATGATACAATTTTTTAAAACACCATAAGCATACTACCTTCTGTTCTAAATATAAAAACTAGTTGACTAATTTGAATAGATTAAGAAAATAGATTAAGTTAGTTATTTATAATTAATAGGTATTGTCTTTCTTAAAATATATTTGTTAATTTAGTGTACTGATTAGAACTACTATTATTAGAAAGAATATCTTTAAAAAATATATAAATATGAGAAACAAAATAGATTAGAGTCTTATATTTAATATCAAAATAAAAATCAAACGATATCTTATATTAAAAACTAGAGGTAGTATTTCTTAATTCTCTTCTTACCTCTTTTACTTGATTATTATTAGAAAATATTAATAAAGTTTATTTGAGAAAAAAAATTAATAAACATTTTCTAATTAGGTCCTACATTAAGAACCCAGGATAGAAGTACTACAATTCAACGTGTCTTTAACATAAATTCTGCAGTTTGGATTCTAATTAACTTTCACCGAGCGATCTATTTATAAAGTTGTAGGATTAGCTTCATGCGGTCAATTGATGAATACCTTTTGTTTACCTGCTAGTTATTCTCTTAACGTAATGAAACAGCTGTATCGAGTTTTGACCAAGCATCCAAATGTTTAACTAGGACTATATATTAAAATGACTTGAAATCCGATTAAATTGTCATTTTGGTGACTCCAAACTTTTTCCTTGCAAGTACTTTTTTTTAGTACTATTTATGATCCTAATTATAAGACCTCATTTGTAGACTACAAATGAGGTCTTATAATTAGGACCGGAGATAATATAATCAAATAAATTCAACTAATTATTTAATCCGTAAGTTAAACTAGTCAACTTAAAAGGAAAAAAGATTTTCTAATTTACTCTTAAGACTACAATAAATTTTAAAGATATGGAAATATTAACCCATCGCAGAGTATATGCTCAGAAAATGAAGCTTTTGAGAGTTTTATTGGCAATACGTAGAATGAAATAATGAGCAAAGTAATGGTAATAATGTGTAGGGGATTGCTGCATGGACCAAGGATTTGGCAAAGGAATCTGAATAGAGAGGTTCTTTGGGTCAAGAGACTTCACAGAGCAGATGAGCAAAGGAATTACAAATACTCAAACAGTAGTAAAAACATGTTTGTAGAAATCCCTTATTTAGAATTTAGTAATTTCAAATATATTTTTTAGAAAAATTGGTTAATAAATCTAAACAGCATTAATTCAGTCTTTTGGATATATTCACAAATAAAACTGTGACGTGAAAATTTTCGTCCACATGTACACCCTTAAAAGTTGAATCTTTTAATTTATATGTAACGTTTAAAAAAACATCATGAACCACAAAATCAGTAGCTAAAATACCCCCTAGTTGATTAATTTATTAATGAATAGTTACATAGGACAGGAAGGCTATGTCTCCAATTGGAACGGATACAAATTAAAGTGTCCGCAAGTAATACTACTATATGATAGCGCTCCTCACATGCTAACTGGCGAGCTTAGCGCACTCAAGCATAGAGCTCCAACATGAAGCACGCTGCTATTTTATTTTATTTTTAATCTGTCTTGAGTTTATGTATTCCTTTTATTTTTATAATAAGTTGAGAACTCATCTCCTCTGTAATAGTTCGTCTTCTTGTTTTGGACTTGAAACATTAACTTTAACGACCCAAGGCTTATTCTAATTATAGCTGGTGTTTAAGATGACAAGCAGTTTTTGGAATGTGATATTATATCTGTCTGGCAAAGATGAAATTGAAGGGTTCAGAGTTGAGTCTAATGAAAAGAATTAGTTCTTTACAGCGTGATGAATTAATGTTTTAATCTTGCTAAACATGTGTTAATTTTTATAACTATCACAGTGCTTCAAATATACCTCTAATAAAAAGATATATGTGCTTAATGAAGAGGGGGAAAAACACATGCCGATTCTTATAACTACTCTTCCGGTCTTTAGTATAGGACCCAATTCTTGATTTGGTTTTGGTCCTAAATATAAGACCTATTTCTCATATTTATCAATTTTCTCTAAATTATCCCTATGGATACTCTCTCAACCATAATCAAGTAGAAGAGGGAGAGGGGATATTAAGAAAGATGATTATGGTGTTTTAGGAAAAATGTGTCACTTTTCTTATAATTAACTAACTTATCTAACTTCTTTAATCTAATCAAGTTAGTTAAATGTGTCTTATATTAAGGACTGGATGAGTATTACACAACATAAATAAGAATAAAATAGATCCTATGCATTCATACGGAACCCAATATGAGCCGTGCACTTTCCTTTATATAAGTATCAAACCTTGGGTCTAATTTTCACTTGTCAATCAATTCCAACCTAAATCAGGGCATGCATAACCATAAAAAGACGTAAAAAGCTTAGAGTATATTTGATCCATTAAACACGGCAGCTTAATTAGCTAAAGAAACATATGAACCATGCATTATTACATTATTAACAATAATAAAGACGAAGAGGGCAGTGATTAACTAGAACCAAAATATAAAAGAAACCAACCAATAATGAGATACTCATTAATTGATTGATTGATTGATAAATGAATAATAATGGATCGTAGCTAGCTTAATTAGCTTGTTAATTTGTCTTCAACGAGCAGCTTGTGACCAATCCAATAAGAAGCATATGCATCAATGCATGCATATTCCACTTGTTCATAGCTCAGATCCCTCACGTGCCATTCGCTCATCGTCACCTTCTTGTTCTTCTTCATCTCTAACCCTACCAGCTCCTTCGCCAGGTGTTTCAGACCTGAACGTGAAAACTTTTCCGGCCACTCACGCTTTGCCACCTCAAGCACATCCACGCCATTACTACACTCTATTCCGTACTCCTTCCTCAGCTTCTTTATGTCGTTCTTCACCTGAACGCCGACGAACGTGAAATTCGAATCCGTCAGAAATTTCCTCAGATTCTCCGGCACGTCGTCCAGGCAAAACAGTTGCAGGATCAGGCACGTGTTCTCCACGCACAGCTGGAGGATCGCCGCTTTCATCGTCAGCGAGACTTCGCGAAGCATCCACTCAGTGTCCAGTCCGACGACTGTGTGGCGGCCGCCGTATTTGGAGTAAACCTGGCGAAGCCATTCATCGGCTACGGAGGCTTTGTGGGTGAGCGTGGTTTCGATGGTGGATCCTTGGGAGATGACGTAGTACTTGGAGGTTGACGGGTTGTATATCACGGTGTCGGACATGGCTTTCCTTAATTAACTCGAAAGTCGAAATCCAGTGTTTGTTGTAGAAAGAGGAGGGTATTGGTTTGGAGAAGAAGAAATAGGATGTCAAAAGCCAATTGATAACTTCGTCTAAGAGAGAAAAAGGGAAAATAGTCAATTGATAGTTGATTTTGATAAATATTTGATTATTTGTTGATGCCGATTTATTATTATATTTTATACTCTTCTATCCTTCTTTCTTTTTTCCTTTTTTGCTAACATATACCCTTGTGTGTTTTCGAGAATTAAATGTGTGATGTGATTATAAAATATGATGCTGTGGATACCCTTTCTTAGGATTGTAAAGCCAATTGACGTGCACATAGGAAAGAGTATTTTTATGATTTGTTACTTGGAAAACATTATTATTTAATAATTAATAAATAAGCGAATTATCATCAACATCAGCAACCAATCAATCTAAAATCTTTTAAAAAAATGTTATGAATTACATTGTGCGCGTTGTGAACGCTAGGGGATGCCCACTTCAGTAAAATATACACACATATAATTAAATAATTAATTACCTTTTTTTAATTCTTAATATAAGAGCTAATTGATAAAATTAATATTGATTTTAAAAAAATTAATATAAAATTTAATAAATTAACTTGAATATATTAAAAAATAAAATAAAATAGTTAATCGTGATACAATTTTCTTAAAAGTTTCATGTATAGTATTAGAAAATATTATATTAAGAGATGAAATTGATTGAAATATTATATTCATAATTAAGTCTAATACCCAACCAATATTATATTAAGGACAATATAAAATAATATTAATTAATTCATTATTAAATTGGGAACATGTTTACAAAATTCGTGCGCACGCGGGAGAAGCATAGGGAAAACACTGTTTGACAAGTAGACTTTTGATTTTGGAATGTGGAAGAAGGGAAACACCGTAACAAACTGAAATTGGTGTTCACATTAAAAAAATGGTATGAAGGATGAAACCCAAAATTCCTTCATCTAAAAATGGAATTATATTATATATATAAAACAAATAGGGACTAAATTATAAAATTGCTAAAATTATATAGATTGAGTTGTAGCGAGCTAAAGTTTAGGAATAAAATTATAATCAAGTTAAAACTACAGGGATAGAGTCGTACTAAATAGGGATTGAATTAATTTAATCAGAAATAGGGATTGAAGCGCAGATAAGTTAAAACCATAAAGATAAAAAGATTAATTTTTTCTTTTTATTTATATATAACTTAGTTTCTCTTGAATGTTACGTTGCATAAAGAGAATTGACTCCGCGCATTATTACTCAAAAATATTAATTAGTTTCAGCGTCAAAAGTTTTGTTTAAAAAAAAATAATGATTCATATTTTAATGGTGATCCTTAAAATTTCACAATTTAAATCCTATCCAATCATCAAAGTTGTTTCATAAAATTAATTACATTTAGAGAGAGATAATATATCTAAATATTTGTGTGTGCGTTTAAATATATAAACGAATCGTGATCTGATTGTGATTGTGTGCAAATGACAAATAAGAATCATGAAAAGACAATTTATATTATGGATTTTTTTTGCCAGCAATTTATATTATTGATTATTACAATTATATATATAATGAAAAATATCAAATTGCGCAGCTATCACTTCATCTGCAATTTGATGCACAATATGTAGGAGTGGCATAATTTATAATTCCAGAATGGGTAAGATTCTGGAGAATCTGTTTATATTTGATAAAGGAACTTTAATTGCATCCATCAATCCTAACCTATCGCCATAATTTGCTTAAATACATATATTCGAACAATTTTTAAAATATTTTTAAAGATTTGGAGGTTTCGAATGCTTACATGAACCGCAGAAGGACTGAAAGAAGATATTCATAGAGCAGGAGAGGATGAAAAGATCATCTTTTGTTTTGTGCGTTTTTACGACCTTGAAGATGCCTTGTTATTTGTGTGTGTGTTTGTGTACATTATTATTCTCCCTTTTAAAAGGAAAAAAAATTACACATTGATGATTAAAATCATGATTCATGCATTTAGATAAAGTATACATTGAAATGATGTGCCTCTTAAATTCAAAAAAGTTAATTGCATATTTGAAATCAATTATGGGATAATAATAACTGGCTATCTTAAATTACAATGAACGATATGATTAAAATTATTAGCAAATATTATAATATTTTTTTTTTAAAATGTAAAATTAAATATTTTTAAAGAAAAATTTATCTTTTAAAAGTGCGGCGATATAAGTGATTCCTTCTCTTATAACGAGGCCTTTTCTCTTATTTATAATGCATTTTGTCTTTTATTAAAAAAAAAATTGAGGCCTCTTTTCTATAGGGAACCCTGTCCCTAATTTCCTTGAAGAATTTGTTATGATCGAAACGGAAAATTTGTTCAGATGCCTATATATTCTGAAAATATACACAAGAAAACATCTAGTATCTGAATTTTTTTGGCTCTTGTATACTTTAAAAGTTTTATTTCGTAGCATTTATGTTATAAATTGTTGTCAATCATTAAGTTTGACTGTTGAAAGTACTAATCAAACTATATAATTTAACGGTCAAAGTTAACTATAAATAACAGTCAAAATATTTTTGCTACAAAAATAAACTTTCAGAACATAAAAAAACTAAAAAAAATGTGTAAGTGTTGGATGCTTCTTCATATATACTTCCGGGATATTTAGACACCTTATCCTTGAAAACATATCAAATAGAACTTTGAAGACACCTTAGACTTAGATGTCCGAATAATATGTGAAAAAATATCATTAACCGAGATGAATGCAATTTAGAAATATATATATATATATATATATATATTCACACATTTAAAGCACCTATATGAAGAGAAGATTTAGAAACAAACTACTACCTCATGCTACTAATATAAGAGTTGGTTGACTAATTTGACTAAATTAAAAAAATTAGTTATTTATAATAAATATGTCTTGTGTTTTTTAAAATACCTTTGCATGTGTATTAACCAGAGTAACCATTTGACGAAACTTTTAACATGTGCAACTACTACAAGGACTAACTTGAAAAAAATACATAAATATAAGAGACAAAATATATTGAGGTATTATGTTTAAAATCAAATTGAATGTCAAACTAGTTTTTATATTAAGAATTGAAGGTTGTACTCTCTCTTTTTAGGTATAAAAACTAGTTGAGGAATTTATTTTGATTTTAAATATAAGAACTCAATTTACTTTTACAAATATTTCACTTAACTAATTTTTTTAGTCTCTACAACTAATTCTTGATTTTTTTTCCACTGAAGATAGAGAAGAGTAACATGTAGATGATTTTGGCGATGGCTGGAAGGGGTTGGAAGATGTGTTGAAGGTAGTCAGAAAGAACGCATTGAACCTTATCATAAGGGTTTGTTTGGATGATGACTACATGGGAAGGGAGTAGGATTATTCTGGTGCAGGAACAAATAGTTAGCCCCAAACAGGTCGTTCAAGTGAGCACGTCCGTTCCTGAACTTCCGGAGGACCTTACGCCATGGAACTCTGAAGCTGGAGAACAACCTTATCCTTCTTCCTAGAAACCTCCGCCTTAACTTAGGAACTCGAACCTTTGGCCTTGTCCTGCGCGCTGGTGTCCTCACCTTCAACCACGCTCTTATCCTCTTTATTATTGCTCCTTCTGGAGCCGTCGTCCCCTCCTCTGATTCTCCATCCTCTTCGCTGTTTCTAAGTCTCCGATATCTTGAAGAAGATGCCATTAATGCAGAATGAGTGTGAGCTTTGTAAACGAATATTTTGAGTGATGTGTGCCTGTGACTCTCTCTGAGAGTGTATATATAGGGATTTGGATGATGATGAGTACGTGTATGCACATATGGTGGAGTTTTGTGTGAGATTTAATATGGAAAGTGCTTGAGGAGAAGGGAAGGGGCAAAGTGGTTGTCATGAAATTAAATGGACAGGGATAGACGAGAGGGAGAGCTGGAATTTATAGGTAATGCCTACTTAATTACCATATTGATTCTTTCTAGCTTCTCTTCCTGCTCTATAGGTTGACATCTCGTTCTTTTTTCATTGTACAATATGCATAAAAAAATTTTAAATACCACCTCAACTTAATATTCCATCCGATTCAAAATATAAAATAAAATTCATCTATTTATGTTTATCAAAAAATTAGTTAAAATCAGTTTAAATAATAAATATGTAAGGCATGTATTTTTTTTTCCAAATATGCCTTTATTAATGAAGAGAATAAGTAAAAGATACAATAAATGAATCAAAGAAGAAAGAGAATATATGAGGATAAAATTAAAAAAAAATTCATTGAAATGTTTAGATAAAAGTGAGTGTTATCTTGTAAAAAAAATCAAATCCCTCTAACAAAGTTTAGCTTATATTTTGAATAGGAGGGAGTATAAAAGTTATGAAAAATGACAGATAAAGAAGATGGACTATATGATATTCTAATTTGGGAAGTTAAGGAAATGTAATGACATTAAGGGAAGTTCTTCTCAAATTGAAAATTTGAAATTTAGTGAAATGACAAAAATGCCTTTTGTCTTTTTCTTTTTAAAAAAAACTCAGTCCCTTACTGGTGGCCGGCGGTTGACAACCACTGTCAGCATTCGGTAGTCGTTGTCGGGCGGCGGCCACCGGTGTGGTGGCTGCCGGTGGAGTTTTTTTGTCACAGTTTTTTTTTTGTATAAGACAATATTGCAAGAAGTGGCGGGGGTAGGATTTAATCCCACAACCCCTTAACCATTTGGTCCAATGGTCATCTACCTTTTTGTTGATCCAAATGGTTAAGGGGTTGTGGGATTAAATCCTACCCCCGCCACTTCTTGCAATATGGTCTTATACCAAAAAAAAAAGTGCGACAAAAAAGCTCCACCGGCAGCCACCACACCGGTGGCCAGTGTCGGAGTCCACGTGGTGGTTGTCGGATGCCACTGGCCACCGATGAGGGGCTGAGTTTTTTTTTAAAAGACAAAGAGTGTTTTTGCCATTTCACTGAATTTCAAAATTCTAATTTGGGAAGAACTTCCCTCTCTATCATTACATTTTCTTAACTTCCCAAATTAGAATATTACATACTCCACATTCTTTATCTGTCATTTTTCCTAAAAGTTAGCCAAAAGTTAGATTTGATTCTAAGTATAAAATATCAATCCACTTTATGGTAACCAATTAACTTAATTAATTTTTTTAATATATTCACATTAATTATTTAATTCTTATATTAAATACATATTCCCAACACACTTTGGAATAAACAAAAATGTCTGTTGTATGTTTTAGAAAAAATAAATACTCATTTGATCCTATTTATAAGTCACTTCTGGCATGTTTCACACAAATCAAGAAAAACCTTAAACTTCATTAACTCTCATTTAAAATTTAACAATTTTTTCAATTTTATCCCTATTTAATGCTTATCCGGTCCTAAATATTAAACAACAAAACGGGTTTTATATTTAGGACTGGAGATAGTATATATTATATCTCATGTAAACAAAATCAGTATGATAATAAAAAAAGATAAATTTATACATTTATATAAAATTTTTTGCTTATTACCTTATAAATAGAATCGAATTTTTTTTTTTCTGTTTTATCAGAGGAGTATTTGGTTTTGTCACTCCACTTCATAAAAAATTTTGCTTGCGTCCTCTTGCATCTATCATTTTCCGCGCAGCAAAACTCCATTTTGATTGGATATCATCGCAATTTTTTTTTTTGATGAAACATCAGGGTATCCACCAGCGAACCCAGTGACTAATCCCTTCGCTGGCTTGTAGGCACCTCGATGGGTGGGACAGCTGGCCCAGAGTTTTAAAGCTTTTTCATGCCCAAGGCGAGGATCGAACCCTCGAGACTTAGTTAAGGGAGGATGAGCCCCCACCGCTCAACCATACCCCTGGGTTATCATCACAATTATTTTATCCACTACCTCTCACACACACACACACTCTCTCTCTCTCTCTCATGTTTTATTCCTTAGCTGAATCATCCATCCATATATGCATAATTAGGAGCATTACCGGGTTTTATGCCTTTTTAAAAAATTGATTAAAAAAATTCTGTTTAAAAATTTTATTAATTAAAAGAAACTAAATTTAAACAAGTGTAGCTTATTTTCGGCATCTTTAACTATCTACAAATAATTTTTATTTTAAAAATTTCATACAGTCAATGACATGCTGCAGTGGAGAAGAAGAATTGTATTTGTTCAAGCCTCGTAAACTTAAATTGAAATTATTTGTAATTTATATATACTTTTCTTTTCAATTTTGTTTTTTATTATTAAAAATGGTGGCATCTGGAATGTCCGAATATGTAACTTTATTATTCATAAAAGGGGACACTGGGTAGCTGGGTTTGTTGGTAGCAGGAAATGTTTTCACCGGGGGAAAAAGGAGGAAATATGAAACGGGTTGCGGGTCGTCTTTGACCCGTTTTGATCCGCTCAACCGCTTTATCGTGGATTTTCAGTTCCGTTCGGTCTACTGCAATGAGGGCGTGTTACAGATAAGCCATTGCAGGGTGGGAGATTTCCATTCTCGGCGTCACCGACAATGGAAGCACTAGGTCTTCCTGCAATTGGTCTTTTCAATCGCTGCTCCTGTTTTCACAGGCCCAGTGCCTTCACGATGGTTCTGGGTACTCCTAAATATGGCTGCCACGCGAGTTTAGCTTCCTTCAAACTCAAACCTTCTTCTACAACAAGAACTCACCATTCGGTATTCCATTCTTCCTTCTTTTTTCTTAAGTTAGATTGTTGAAGAATTGGGGCTTCTTTTTCGGAAAGCTAAGCTGAATATCGAGTGCTCCAGTAATTTCTGTTGCCTTTGGTTTCCTGGGCAACTCATACAGATACATAACAGTGAATTCTAGGACATGATATTTATTTTTCATTTGCAGAAGAGTGTCATTCGAGTACAAGCTGATAGTGAAGACTATGAATTGAAGCAAATGAGGGACATGGCTGCTGCGAGAAAGAGATGGGAAACTCTGGTATTTTGGAATCAATGCTGACTTTGATGCATGAAGATTGTTAAAAGATTTTAAGAGCCATTGAATTTATCGTCATCTAGCGTGTTTTCTTCTTGCAAGTGAGCTGAACCATTCATAAGTTAGTGGTGGTCGCCATTTTGTACTCATCATCCCCCTCCCTCTCTTCTTGAAGCTTGTATGATTTTAAGTATATCAGGTGCTAGGTCCATACTCTGTTCATAATTAATTACCGGAGTTATTTGCTTAACATATTAATCTTTTATTAATGACCTCAGTATGTGTAAAATCACCCTATGAACGTAACTAGCAAGTGGATCATGGGATTTGATATGGTGTGGTCACTTTTTTGTAGCTCAGGGAAGGCAAAGTTAAAGTTCTTACGCCAAGGGAAGCTGGGTATGCGGTTCAGCTTTCCAACAAACCCTTACTTGATGTTCGTCCCTCCAACGAGCACAAGAAGGTTGGTTGCTCCTCTTTTAGCTTAACCATTTATTTTCTTCACCATAGCCTATTCATATGTTGCACACATCAATTTAAGCCTTCACCAGCATAAGTAGAGGGGAAAAATCAAGCAAAAGATGGCACCTAATTTGACATTTTAAACTTGCTGTTTTTTTCCCCCCCAAAAAAACGTTTCCTTTTTTCCCATTCGTGATGCATGTTGTGAATTGAAGAGCCTATTCATAAGATGTGTATCAGAGATTACATCGAACCATAAGATCCAACAACAAAGTGAGGAATAGAATGTCTGTTCGTATAATGTGCTAAAATTGATGTTTAAGAGCTAAGAACATGCCTTACCATGTATCATAGATAACCTAAGAAAGTACCTGTTTTTTAAGGTCTTGCACTTGGACATAAAAATCATTAATCAATGAATATTACTCCATATGGACTAAGATACCTTGTTTAATGCTATAGTTTGGAGGGATAATGTGACATAATTGTAGGTAGTTGAATGAGGGTATATTTGGGGGAAAAAACAATAAGCCAAGCTTTGGAGTTCTAAAACAACAATAGTTCTGAAAGAAGATAAAAATCTAAAACAATAATAGAATTTAAACAGAGGTAGTAATAAATTTACAAGTAATTAACTCTTGAAATGATCCCAACTCCCAAATGGTATCCTTGTTTACTATTTTAGTGGGGGGCATGGACAATATTAATAACCATCCAACAAAGCCATACCAACTGTTAAAAGAATTAATGTCACGTCAACTTATCATGTGTTGAATATTGACTTCTACTGGAAGAAAGCGTATAACAGGAAAAAAACCATGAAACTGGATTCTTAACAATGAGGTTGTTGGATGATAGCCCATTTTTTAGTGCATTTCTAAAAATTATGATATTTAGAAATATTCCCTAACGTTGCACAAATTTATATTTCAGAGCCGGTTTAGGGTTACTTCATATCCAAACATTGACTCATATTGTTGTCTTGCAAATTTCTTTCTTTCTTTCTTTTTTTTTTTTCCCAATTACCATGTTACAAAATGCCAGTTCCTGGTGGAAATAACCAGTCTGAGTCTGACAGTTCTGCTCTGACCTCTCTGTATCCTTTCACTTTGTGGGAACAAGCTGCAGAGTGTAATATATGATGTGATCTTTGTTTCATAATGTTCTTTTTGACTGTTTTCAAGGCATGGGTCAAAGGTTCAACCTGGATTCCAATATTCGATGTTGATAATAACCTAGATGCTGGAACCGTTGGCAGGAAAGTCACGAATTTTGTGATGGGTATTAGACAATACTCGTTTTCTTGTTCATTATTATTGTGTCATTCCATACTGTTGGAATGCATTCTAGATATATGCTATGGATCTCAACATGTTAGTAGATATCTATTGAATTCGACTTAATGTTGTGCTTTGCAGGAGGATGGTGGAGTGGCGTGCCTACACTTTCTTATGACAGGTGTGTCCTGAGCTATCATTATTCTTCTGATTCATTTTCTGTGTATGTCAAATTGTTTTTTCACTGTTTTTTTTATATTTATTTTTTTAATTAACAGCCAGTTCTTAGCAAAAGTTGAGCAGAAATTCCCCAAAGATACAGACTTAATTGTTGCGTGCCAGAAGGGACTGAGGTGAGCTTTATATATTTAAGTGGGAAAGTGGCTCTACAGTGTACACTCTCTGGTAATTTATTTTGTGATTGAGTTGCTAATCTGGACAATATTTGGTACTTGCTCTGAACTCTTGTCAGTTATTAAACCGTTTGAATTAGTCAACTTTGTTATGGTGGATGTAACACTTTTGTGGTCACGTTGCTTGGATCAAACAGACGGTTCATTTTATTGCTTTGTCATGAACCTCAGTTTTTGGGCAGGTCTTTAGCTGCTTGTGAAATACTGTATAATGCTGGCTACACAAATCTATTTTGGGTTCAAGGAGGTCTTGAGGCTGCTGAAGAAGAGGCATGTTCTCCCAGTTTAGTTTTATAGAATTTGTCTTTTGCTTTGCTGTAACGGAATGTGAAATACAGGACTTATTTTGTGAGGTTTCTGTTTTTTGTTTTCCGTGGAGCAGGATCTTATTATAGAGGGCCCTTTGCCTCTTAAATTTGCTGGAATTGGTGGCGTTTCAGAGTTCCTTGGGTGACTGTCTAATCTTATCTTTGCCTTTTGTCTTCTGATAAATGTATTATAAAATGGTTGAAAGTATGTTCGTCCTTGTCCTTCTTGATATTTCAATTTAGAATAAAGATATGTTCTAAACTTTTTAAATACAAAATATCAAAATTATCAATGCTATATCGGAAATTCAGAACATTGTATTTCTTGCAGAGAGTGATTGGTTGGGCAATTTGTGCTGAAAATGTACAAAATTGTTGCTCAAAAACTTCCTTTGTGTTTAATATCAATGACAGTATAATATTTGTAATTTGCGTGTCAACAAACTTTTAGGTGATTCCCTAATCTGGTTTGGTGTACCATTTTCAGGATTCTTTTATTTTGTTTCATGTGCGTTGAGTAATGACAATTGCGCAGTTTTATTGCATTTTGACATGGGATGAAACCACATACTAATTGAGATTATATAGGAACCTATTATTACAGTATATTACTATATTCTCAAGAATGCATGATAGATGATCCCCTCAACGGCAATGCTTAGTGGTATGATCTGTTGATGGTACAATAGTGTATAGCTAAATCATGTGGACATGCATGATTCTTCTTTTTCATATTGGTTGAAGGGTTAGCTCTCAGATTATCTTGACAGTTAGAGGAATCTTTTAAAATGTTTTTATTCGTGTTTCAAGTGGAAAGTGAAATTCTGACTTCAATTAATATTTCTAGTTGGACTGAGCAACAGAGAGCCGCTGCAGCGAAGGAAGGTTGGGGTTACAGATTAGTGTTTTCTGCACGCTTGGTAATTTATCATTTTTGTTTTCTGTTTTAGGGATTACTGCCTAATTTATTAACTGTTTGTGTCTAATGTTATTCATGTAAGCTTTTGGTTACATCTCCTGTATCTCAAAATCTGAACTTTGACAAGTTTGGTTGCTTCTGGTATAGGTTGGACTATTTCTTCTTGCTGATGCGTTATTTCTCGGTGCTCAGCAAGTTGCTCGCTATCTTCAAGATATTAGAAGCCATTGAAGTGCAAGGGCTGCTTCGAGCATATTAATTAATAACCCTTCCAGGAGAAAATCTCTTGGCCATGGACGAGCATGTAGAGACAGAAGGCTGAAGAACTCAATTTTGGATGCTTAGCTTGGTAAAGCCTTAACCGTCAAATACCATTTAGTTTCAAGTAGGCGCTTTCTAAGAATAGTTGTGTTTGTGATTTCCTCTTCGTTTTTCATTTTTCTTTTCAAAGCAACGGTATGATTTTTGTCTCTGTTAGAGGCTGCTTTTGTATTGTAATTGTAATCTTCCTCTGTTTGAGTTTAGGATTTTAGGTTGGCCTCATCCTTGTATATTTGTCAGAAAATTTTTGAATAAATCTACGCAGCACATTCACAATATTAAGTAGTGAAATCATTTGATTATTACTGTTTGGTGTGTTTGGATTAAAGTTAGTAAAATCAACTTTTATGCTAACTAATTATACAAAATGAAGTTGTGAGTGATTTGTGATTGAACAAAATTTATTAGAAAAAAAGTTAATTTGAGGTATTGAAGCTTGTTTGAATGATTAATTTAAAAATAAGCTTAGATATAAAATGATTAAAAAAAGTACATGAGTTTTATTAAATACATTCACACACACACGTATATTGTATACTTGTATGTAATGTGATAATTTTAAGAAAAATATTAAAATTAAAATTATTGGGAAATATGAAAATTAAAAGAGTTAATATTACGTTGGGAAAAATTTGTAAATACTAATGTAAATGAGCAGGATTTTCCTTCTTCTGAAAGAAGAATCAACAAAGATACAAAGGTTCTAACAAAACCTTTCTCTGTCTCAATAGAAATTACTCTTATTAGTGAAGTTAGGCCAGTCTTAGCAGTATAATTACATGACAAATTTACAGAAATATAAGACCCCACCTGGATATAAAAATGAGGAAATTAGATTTCCTTGTTATTAAAAACAAAACAAAAGAAACAAGAGGGAATTAAATAGGAAAAAAAAAACATAACATATCAAAAGATATAAAATTTATAATCAAAGAAACATGAGAGAATTGTTATGAAGTTTCAAGTAAGAAATATAATTACTAAAAAATCTCAATGGCAAAAGGACAGATTGTAACGAGAAATTTTAGAGCAATAAATAATGACTACTTACTTGTTATTAGAACCTATTAATAATTATTTTTTTCTTGGGATCTATTGCAATTCTCTAAAAACATACTACTGGAGATAAGGCTTGCTTGGTTTGTTGGCCAAAAAGAAGATGGGAAAAAAATCCCAAAAAAGTACTTTTAAAATTTTAAATTTTCAAATTAAGAATGACTACAAAAATGTGTTGTCATTTGCTTTTTAAATATTATTAATTATTATTAAAATGTAATGAACATGACTGATTTAAAATTTTAAAATTTTAAAATATTTTTTTCGAGATTCTCTCAAGAAGATAACTCGTGAGGGAGAAGAGGCAAGTGATGGGTAGGTCGAAAATTTTAAAACGCAATGCTCTTTAACAGTTTTCTTAATAATGCACAGTGCAGCAACCTAATGCGCAAGCAACAAAAACTCAAAAAGTTGCTTCATTTCAGAAGTTATTTAAAGCTCAATATGTGAGTTATTCACAAGTTCTGAAGCAATTTTATGGCTCAAAAGTCATTTCTGGTGCCAAACATGCCATAGTCTTATGACAACTGTATTTCTCCCAGTAAATTTTATTGAAATCCCTTGCCTTCCTCTGTGTGTGTGTGTGTTTTTTTTTTTTTTAATGAGGCTAAGCCTATTTTATCTTTTAATCTATGTCAGATTTTCAATAATGAATTGGATGATCAACCAGAGCGCTGTGTTTGTTATAGGCTTTGTAAAAATCTCTCTAGTGGTTTGATACTTGAGGGTGTGTTTGGATGAAACCAAACCGTGGTTTGGAAAAGTGATTCTGGAGAATAGATTCTGGGAAGAATAGATTCTTGAAAGAATAGATTTTATGAAAAAGTGATTTTGAGAAGTGAAAGTGTTTGGATAGTTGTTATCAGAAGCACTTTTTATATATACAAATTACTAAAAAAAAGATATAAGTTAATATGATAATTACAAAAAAAAAAGATTTTATGATATATTTTAATTTGAAGGAATAAAATTGTTAATAATATATTTTTTATTAACATAATTAATAATACATAAGATAATATAATTAATAAATAATTAATATGTATATATATTTATAAAATATAAGATTAAATATGTTTATAAAAAAATAACAAGATACATATCCTATAGACTCTCACACTCTCCTTTTTTTCTCCAAAAGCAAAAATTTTTTGCTTTTTCCAAAACCATAGTTTTGGTTTTTGGGTGGGTGTTTGGGTGATTTATTCCCCAAACCATGGTTTGGGGTGTCACCCAAACACAGTCAATCGACTAGAATGTGAGGGGTGATAAACTAGAATAAGTGATTTTATTCATAAAAAATGTTTCTCATATTCTTAAATTAACAAATAACAATGAGAAAGTAATCAATAGACAATGATGATGGATATATGCATCATGTTCATTATAAACAAACACTTGTGCTGCAAGGAACGAGTTATTAAAATTTCTAGTTCCTGCTTAGAACATAACTATTCCATTATTCATAAAACCAAATCGAGGAGGGATGGCTCAATCTTTCATGGAAAGTGTGGCTTAGCAACGACAAAGAGATGATCTCTCCTGTGCATTGAGATGCCAAAAACTTCTGTGAGATCCAAATCTTTGGCTGAAACTCCCGGAGGAAGCTCCCAGTCAAAACTATGAAGCAGCTGAGCCAGAGCTAGCTCAATAACTGCATTGGCAAATGTAATTGCAGGGCAACCCCTTCTACCAGCCCCAAAAGGTATTAGCTCAAAATCTTGCCCTTTGAAGTCAATATCACTCCCTAAAAATCTCTCTGGTTTGAATGTTTCAGCATCTTCCCAACTTTCTTTATCTCTTCCTATGGCCCACGCATTGACATAAAATCTTGTTTTTGCAGGAATTTTGTACCCATCTATGGTAACATCTTCTATGGATTCTCTTGGGACCAGTACTGGAACTGGAGAATGGAATCGAAATATCTCTTTGATGATAGCTTTCATGTACTGCAACTGATGCAGATCACTCTCCAACACCACCCTTCTTTCTCCTAGGACTCCTCGCACTTCATTTTGAGCTTTTTCCATGGCCAAAGGGTTCATCACCAGCTCTGTCATTGCCCAGTCAAGAGTTATGAAGGTTGTATCGGTTCCTGCAGCAAACATATCCTGCAGTAACAGACATGATTAGGAAGACAGGACAAAACTTTCGAGGATAGTTTTTCATGTGTTCATTGGAGAACTTGATGGTAAGATTCATTTACCAGGATGATTGCCTTGATATTATCTGTGGTTAGAGGCACCTCATCTGAGTCATTCCTCTGTACCTCGAGTAGAACATCCACAAGGTCTTTATTATGCTCCTCTATTTCCTTAGTGCTGGCATGTTCTTTGAGGATCTGATCAAACAATTGATCAAATCGTCGAAAAGTGTCCTCCAATCTTGACTTGACGCCTGTCAAGTTGTGCACGAATTCCAATGAAGGAAAGAACTCACCAATACTGAATCCTCCAAGTAGAACCTGGTACTCCTCGAGCATCTTCTGAAATCCACGCCGATGATAATCTCCCCCTTCTGAAAAGTCCCTTCCAAACACAGTCCTACAAAGGACATCGTTTGCATACAAACCCAGAAACTTAGTCAGATCCACAGTACCCGGAGAAGACTCTACAATCCGAGAAACCAGACGGGCAACTTCTTCTTCCCGAACAGAACGGTATGTCTCTACTCTTTTAGCACTCAGAAGCTCAAGTATGCAGATTTTTCTGATATTTCTCCAGTATGGACCATAGGGAGAGAAGACAACATTGGTACAATTGTAGAACAGATGTTTTGCTGCAAATAACTGTGGTCGGCTTGCCAGAGCAAGATCATGGGTTTTCATGACTTCCTTTGCAAGTCTAGCAGATGAAACAACAATAGTTGGGATCTCTCCGAGTTGAAGGTAGATCATGGGTCCATATTTTGCAGCAAGGCGTTGCAGAGATAGGTGAGGCATGGTGCCGAGTTGGTGAAGATTGCCAATGATGGGTATGGCAGGTGGACCAGGAGGAAGATGGGATCTGTGTTTTCTGGACTTGTATTGGAACAGAAGAAGCTTTATCAGTACAAGAAGGAGGATGAGTGGAAGAAGAAGCGAGAAAGGTTGAAAGCCATCCCTCAGCCATTGCAACGCAGCCATTTGATGGATGTTTACAAGATGGATGACCCGCCCCTCTTGTTCTTCTTATCAGCTAAACATAAAGTGTCCAAAGATAGCAGAAAAGAAAGAAAAATGATTTTGTAAATAAAATATAATAGTAAATAGGATCTTAAATTAATAGTCATGCTGAAAAGCGCATCTTGTATTCTATGGATACTCGTATAACATTTTATAAGTTTGAGGAACATTAAAAGAAATTATCTTCGAATACGATCTGAAGGCAGGTAGACATATTGACCGTTCTCCAATAAATTGTCTGACTTATATCGGATAATTTTCCTTTATCATACCATGCTGAGCATTTAAAAGATGTTAACCAAGCAACTTGCATGAAAACAAATTGAGGCGGTCCCATGATTTTGGTCTTAGTGCTGAGTCAAACACGTGGGGGGGCCTATATTAATATTTTTCTCAAGATGGATCGCACTTTGGATGGGGGTGGACCCTCGAAGACCACAAACAGAATCAAAATAAAAATCAAAACATATTCTCATATATATATATATATATATATATCTTTTTCTTGGATTGAAAAGAGGGGAACATATCTTATAGGAATTAGAATTCTGGATCAGACACACGGAGGGAAGCAGAAAAAATCCGATAACACACCAATGAATATTCATTGTTGAGTTAGAAATTTGAACGTACACGGAACTCCTGGTTCTACCATCACAAGGTTTGAATTTGCGGTGTCACAAGTGACATCTTGTATAATTATATTACTCCTTCGGTCCTTAATATAAGACCCATTTAACTAATTTGATTAGATTAAGAAAGTTAGGTAAGTTAGTTAATTATAAGAAAAGTGACATATTTTTCCTAAAACACCATAATCATCTTTCTTAATACCCCTCTTCCTCTTCTACTTGATTATGGTTGAAAGAATATCCATAGAAGTAATTTAGAAAAAATTGATAAATATGATAAATGGGTCTTATATTTAGGACCAAAACTAACTCAAGAATTGGGTCCTATATTAAGGACCGGAGGAGTACAACACTTTGAATATATTTCCATTGATATGCGTCATACGTTAAATCATATAGGTATACTACTACCTCCGGTCCTTATTATAAGACCCCTTTTGACTTTTTGTTTGGTTCTAATTATAAGATCTCAATCCATTTTGTCTCTCATATTTATGCATTTTTTTTCAAAATAATCCTTCTAATAATGATAGTTCTAGCCAATACACTTAATTAGCAAGGATATTTTAGGAATGACAACACTTATTTATTACAAATAACTAATTTAACTTACTTCCTTAATCTCTTCAAATAAATCAACTGGATCTTATAATTAGGACCGGAGGTAGTATCATGTAAAAACCACAAAAAAAAAAAAGAAGGCTGCGAAAATTCTTGTATCTTAATGATATGGATGATTCTTTGTACGTGGTAGGTTATGTACTAGAATATAATCGTAATCTCACGCTGTCAGTATTTGTACTTTTAATTAAAAGAGAAGATGGGTACACTTTGTGATGGGATTCATTTCTCAACTTTTTTTATGAGAGATTTGCCTTAGATCTTACACGTGTTAAGATCTACTGATAGTTAATACTACCTTCCCTAACTATAGGAGCTAGTTGACTAATTTCAGGAAATTAAGAAAAAAAATTAAATTAGTTATTTGTCATAAATAAGTGTTTTTTTTTCTAAAATACCCTTACTAATTAAGTATATTATTGGCTAGAGCTATCTTTGTTAGAATGACTATCTTGAAAAAAATACATAAATATCAGAGACAAAGTGGATTGTGGTCTTATATTTATAACCAAAATAAAAGTCAAACGAGGTCTTACATTAAGGACCGGAGGTAATACTAATTAATGTGAATGTGTATAATAAAATTACATACGATACTGTATTTGGCTTATGTGATGAAAGATACAACCTATATATATATTACTCAAATATGAAATGCACGGTGGGTACCTAATTCATTACTTACAGAGTTTCGTTGGATTCATGTTTAAGTGGCGTTTAAGCAGTTTTTCAGGGTTAAAAGCACGTTTGACATGTTTTATCATATTTGGAATAGCTTTAAAAAGTATATCAAAATCGCAGGATGAAGTCAAAAGCAAACAATTTGATGCTTGTGGTGTTGGAAAAGTGGAAAGGGAAGAGGTTTAAATTTTTTTTTAAAAAAATTGTGAGTCTCACTTTTGAAAAATTTACTACCACGAAGGGAGAAATTAAACCATGAAAAGAGAAGAAATTAAATGCTACTCCTTCCAATTTATAAGATAACATGTTAGTTAAACTTACAAAACAAGAAATGTTAGTTAAATTATTAAATGTATTTTAATTTTTTGAATCACTTGATTTAGTTATTTAATGCTTATATTTTGAACTGAAGGGAGTACTATTTAATAAAATTCATGCTATTTTCGGCCATTTTAGAAAAACTTATTCTTTTTCAATAATGATCCAAACAACTTTATTTTTATAAAAGTCAATCTAAATATAAAGTATATTACACAATCTAATTTTTACTTAATTTTAAATTTTTAGAAGTCAAATTGAAAATAAGTCATTTTTTCTAGTATCAATTCAAATGGACCCATAGAGGGGTCACTATTCTGTTACATCAACTTCGAATTCTAAATCCAATATGATAACGTTGAAGGTCGGTCACATATAAGCCTTGCTTAGTGATGATGGGTATGGTCTGATTAAGATTGAATCGATTCGAAGACATTGAAGGGTTACTAGAAGCAGGGGACTACTGGGCGGCCTGGTTTGAAAGAGGTGGCTTTGAACGTTTGTGGTGTGTATTCAGGGAATGTTTTGGCTCTCTCTGTGTTGGCCACAAGCTGCTTATTGCTTTGTGTTTATTTTGCGCTGACTTTGCTTCATGTTCTTTGACTCTTTTTCTTTTCTTTTTTTTGCCCTTTTTCCCGAAGAAACTTAGGATGGTGGAAGTCCATTTTCGAAAATGAATAGTAGTATTTCCAAGAGATAGTAAACTCTGGAACAATTTTCTAAGTGACGTTCTGTTCCATTCCATTAAATGTTTGCATCAGACTCTAAGCCAGTTGATATACAGGGAGGAGAAAAAATCATTGGTGGTTCAATCTCCCTCAGAGCGATGGATCTCCTTGCCCTTTGGTTTGTTGACAGTTACAGGATCATTACCCTGTTCATTGGTAATTAAACCCGTTATCAGATAACACAATGAGTTAAAGTTCAAACACAGAATACTAAAAGTCCAACTTACCATATTCACATTAATAATTACTGTTCCCAACTAGTTTCAGAGTGACGACGTTCCATTAATGATAGCATATCCAGTTCCATCCATCCATCCGTCCATTCTCTGCATCAAATTGTTGACGTTGAAGAAGAAACTCATTAACTGGAACTCATTGATGGCTCCAACTTGGAATACTAAAAGTCCGTCCATTCATCCAATCCAATCCAATCCAATCACTGAATTAAAAGTTAATTAAAGAGAGTAGTTAAAAAGTCAAGAATAGGAAGAATCATAACAAAGCCCTCTCATGCTTGACGCTATAAATAATACCCAAACTTGGCACAGTGCTTCACAGTTCACACTTCACAAGAGACTGGTTTATCTGAAACCTGAAAAGCAAAATGTCAGCATCACATTCTTCAAGCATTTCTCACATCCCTGCTGCCACCTCAAAATACAGTGTCAAGTATGGAGGCAAAGCCATAGAAACCACAGTCACTGATAAGGCCGCTGTTGCAGACGAATGGGTTCAAGAGATCAGAAACAAATACAGTGGCAACGCCAAAGTGGTTGTGGGATTGGACGTGGAGTGGAAACCAACAGACGCAATTAACGTCAAACCAGCTACTTTACAACTCTGCATCAATGACAAGTGCCTCATTCTGCAGCTCTTGCACATGGAGGAATTCCCCACTTCGCTCAAGCGGTTCTTCATGGACTCCAAGTTCACTTTTGTAGGAGTGGAGATAGAAAAAGATATCAGTAAGATTACTGAGAAGTACGGGTTAGAATTCAGGAACAGGGAAGACATTAGGGAGCTAGCCATGAGCAGGAACAAGTATGGGATTACTGGAGACAAGACAAGCCTGAAAGATCTGGCTATGGTCGTTTGTAATATCCATCTGAAGAAGCCTGTTAATGTTCAGGCGAGTGATTGGGAGGCATCGACATTGAGCTCGGAACAAGTTGAATATGCTTGCATGGATTCTTACGCCTCTTATTGTGTTGGCCACAAGCTGGTCATCGGTTGAGGATAGAAAGAATGTTCTAATGTCTGTGTTTCAGCCTGTGTTCTTGTGTTCTGTGCTTGTTATTTTGATGGTTTATATTTTAGCGGCAGGCTTCTGTTATGTTTGTGCTTAATTAGTGTGTTTTTGTTGTTTCTGTTGTTCTTGTCATTTGGGGTTTGATTATCTTCATGGTCTGCGTATCGTTTACTATGATATGAAATACTACGTGATTTCCTGATCTGCGAAGTTTGCGGTTTTGTTACTCCGGATATTAACTAGGCCATCCTTGATTCGGGCTGCCTTATTTTTGGGCAACGAAGACCATGTTTCTTAAACGTAGGGAGGCTTGGGCTGGATGATTTGAGCAGAGGCCCATTTCGTTTTTAAATATTGGTCTTAGCTAAAACACTATCATTTGTAAATCACAAATAATGTGTTTTAAAGTATATTACTTTCTAGTTTTTAATATAAAAACTAGATGACTAATTTAAATAGATTAAAAAAATTATTTAACCTATTTATTTATAATAATGTGTTATCTTTTCTAAAATATTTTTTGATCATCTAGATTGACTAGAATTACTATTATTACAAAAATTATCTCTAAAAAATAAATATAAAAATAAAATGAATATGGTCTTATATTTAGAATTAAAATAAAAATTAAAACAACTCTTATATTAAGGACATGGGGTAGCACAATGCAAATGTAGTACAATGCAAATGTTATGTTCATGTATACTCTGGTTCTAAACATAAGATTTAATTTATATTATAAAATGAATGAATTTTGGAGTATAAACAAATCATTAATATTTGAATAAATATAAATATATTCAATATTGCTTTATATCTTTGGGGATGAAAAGAGTGATCTATCGATCAAGTCGGGATTTGAGGATATATCATGAATATTTATATACTTGGAGTTAAAAAGAAAAAAAGAGTTAACCTAAATTTTTGTTTCAAAAACCAAAAGACCTAGAATACCCCTCCGCGTAGGGAATCAATAATATTCGCAATTATTCCATGGCCACCAAACCTAACTCAACTATGGTTACTTTATTTAACTATAGTTGCGGCCTACGCCACTTGACGGCACAATCCATCCAAACGAGATGCCTTGGGCTGACACGTGGACGGCCAGATTTCTTCTCAACGGCCTTTCCGCGTCGTTATTATTTGTCAGGTTAAAATTAGGGTTCCTCATACCCAAGGAAACCTTATCAGTTATCCTATAGAGATTTCTTCTGCAGATCTCTTCTCGCTGCCTTGTTTCGTCTTGAGATCATGGAGATGGAGCGTGTCTTTGAATTTCCTCATACCCACCTGGATCGTCGGCCGAGGAAGAGGGCTCGTTTAGGTTGGGACATCCCTGAGGTCCCAAAGGTAACTTCTTTATCCTGAACTTTCAGATCTGATATGTTTTCTTGGTGTTTTTTGCTTTTTTGTTGTAGATCTGGTGAAGTTTTTATAGATTAGGTATGTATAATTCAGGTATGGTCGGAGCTTTTGCCCATAATTTTTTGTTTTTATTTTTCGTTATGGATCTGCCGGGTTTTGTTTATCTTGCATGTGATTATTTTTTTCCTGAACGGAGATGGCGAATTCCTGAGATCTGGTTTATGATCTGGGTCTTATTCCTTTTTTTCGGCTCCGATCTGTAATTAGCTCTTTGAACTGCTGATGTATTGTGGCTTGTTCAAGTTTGTTGCTTAGATGAATCTTATATGATTTATGTGTGTAAATTTTCTTGCCCCTTTAATAATTAGTTGTATCAACGCCATTCGTTCTTGTACGTATTTTGTTTTTCACCCCAAAAGCGATCTGATGTGTCAATCTGGATCTAGCCTTTTGTAGGTTTTTTTTGGAAAGATTTTGCTGTCTGGTGGTAACTATATTTGGAAATACTGCAGTGTTTGAATAAGGAAAATTTTCCCTGTAGTTTCTGAGTTGAAAATTAAGTTGTGTCTGATAATTCCGTAATTTTTCCTTTTTGTTGTTATGAACTGCTGAAAATTCTGTATCTTTGACGGGTTATTGTGCTGCGGAATCCATGTAACTTGTTTTGATATCTGCCTTGACTCTTGGACCACTCTATATTTACTGTTTTATGCCCTTGATAATGAATTTCGTGTACCAAAGTCTTACTCTTTTCGTTTGTTTCCTTAACTAACGATCTGAGGTAGTGGCAAGTAATGTAAGTGAGGGTTCATCATAGTGGGGTGGAATATTGCTTTGTTAATTCTGAGTGGTACATGAATGGATGACTGTGTGTAGGGTCAGGTAGGATTGTTTTGTGGACAAGATGTTGGAAATTTTTCAAGCTATGCACCTTCAAGGGGGCCCTCAGAGCATACAAATAATTCTCTAAATGTTAAGGGAGTAGCTCGAAATGGTTCTCCCCCATGGCGAGATGATGACAAAGATGGGCATTACATGTTTGCGCTTGGAGATAATTTAACTTCTCGCTGTAATTACACTTACACTATCATTAAGAAATTTCTATTCATATATATCATGGTCAAATTGTAGTTTATTTTCTAACAGACTTGTCATTTAAAGTATGCATTTGTGGCATTTAGTTGGTCTCCATTCTCATTAAAATCTTGTGTAATGTATTCTGGATCTCTCATAAGTTAATAGGTTTGTCATCATTTGGCTTTAGGAAGATGATTAAAGTTGATCATTGTTAATGTTCTAGTGTAGGTTCATATTGGGCATTTGAACTATTTTTGTGGTTCTGGAGTCCACCTTTTCAAACCTGGCATCTATGTTTTACGTTTGTTACTATTCATATTTACAGATAAGATACACAGCAAAATGGGGGAAGGAACTTTTGGGCAAGTCTTGGAATGCTGGGACCGAGAACGGAAGGAGATGGTTGCAATAAAAATTGTTCGGGGGATAAAAAAATATAGGGAGGCTGCCATGATAGAGATTGAGGTGCTGCAACAACTTGCTAAACATGATAAAGGTGGCAACCGGTGAGTTTTCTTACCTGAAATTCTGACAATATGAGCTAATGAAATATAACATTTCTATTGTGGCATTTGGTTAAATGGGTTTATTCCTTGCAGTTGTGTACAAATACGGAACTGGTTTGACTATCGTAATCATATCTGTATTGTAAGTATTTGATTGTTTTATAATGGATTAATGCCCCCAATTCTTAGATAATTTGGGGATTAAGACTTCTGGGTGAATTTAAATGGTTTCAACAGGTGTTTGAGAAACTTGGGCCAAGCTTATACGATTTTCTTCGGAAAAACAATTATCGCTCATTTCCCATTGATCTTGTTCGCGAGATTGGCAGACAACTGTTGGAATGTATAGCATGTGTGTAGTATTTACTTGAACCAGTTTTCTCTTGGTCATATTTCTGTTACTGTCACTCTGCATTGGTTGAATTGTCAATTGCACTGTTAAGTTATTGGTGGTGATAATGTTATCATTTGAATCTAACCCATCCTAAGAAAGTTTTATTATGCATGTGTAAAGACGGAAGTCTCATTCTGTGGTCTCTGTTGCTAATTGTCTGAATTCTCCTTTTTGAATTTGCAGTCATGCATGATTTGCGCATGATCCATACAGACTTGAAGCCAGAAAACATACTGCTAGTTTCATCAGACTATGTTAAAGTTCCTGACTACAGGGTGTGTATTTTGTTTTCATACCTGGCTTTCTTACTGATTTTCATGAAGGAAAATTTTAGAGCTAATTGATTCATCAATTATATCTTTATGAAACAGAGCTCTTGCAGATCACCAAGTTCATATTTCAAGAGAGTGCCAAAGTCAAGTGCTATCAAAGTTATTGATTTTGGTAGCACCACGTATGAGCGAGAGGATCAGACTTACATTGTATCAACACGGCATTATAGGGCACCCGAAGTTATACTTGGTACATACATGCACTATTAAAAAGAATCACTCCTGTTATCTTAGCAAGTGACATGTTAAATATTTTGTCTTATGGCTCGTGTGGTTCAGATGTTATCTTGCTTACCATGCATTGCCTTTCAGGACTTGGATGGAGTTATCCGTGTGATATATGGAGTGTGGGATGCATATTGATAGAGCTATGCACGGTATGATTTACTTTTTTGTTACATGTTTTATAGCATGCGTCCCCCTTTTTGGTTTTCTACTTTTCTTATCGTCTAATATGTTTGTATTGTAGGGCGAAGCTTTGTTTCAAACTCATGAGAATTTGGAGCACCTTGCAATGATGGAAAGGGTTCTTGGTCCGTTGCCCCAGCACATGTTGAAAAGAGTAGAGTAAGTGATTGTACCCTAGGGTTTGATATCAGTGGATTTTTTTTTTTCCAACGGAGTTTAATCAATAATTTTGTTGCCTTGTGTAGCCGACATGCTGAGAAGTATGTTCGAAGGGGTAGACTTGATTGGCCAGAGGGGGCCACTTCTAGGGATAGTATCAAAGCTGTAATGAAGTTGCCTCGGCTTCAGGTTAGTTTTCAATTCCTGCGGACGTTGTATAAGCCTTGTCTCAATCATGTGGTTTACTAAAGGTGGGTAATATATGTGGTGCAGAATCTGGTAATGCAGCATGTGGACCATTCAGCAGGAGATCTCATACATGTGTTGCAGGGTTTACTTAGATATGACCCTTCTGAAAGACTAACAGCTAGGGAGGCTCTAAGACATCCCTTCTTTACAAGAGATCACCTTAGGAGATAGCTTTTTCGCTTGATACATTGCGGTGGGAAGCCTGTAACCGCAACGCAAATTTGTTTTTCGACTGATAATTTCCAACTGATAATTTTATGTGGTTGACCCTAAGAATTCAATGTAAATATCAGATCATTGTACCATGTTTAATACTGCAATTTAGCACTCTTAATTTCTTATTCATTCGACTCTGGGCTGTTTATCTTAATCTTGCTTAGGCTTGTGCGTCTTCGGGGATTCGATAGTTCAAACGGAAGAACTAGGAAAGTTTAAGGCTCTCGGCTGTCGGCAACACAATTGTCGGCTGTTCTGCATTTTTCTGTGTTGTTTTTGTAATCCTGAAGTCAGGTCTAAGGTGTTGATTCAGTAATATAGAAAGCATAAAATTTCAGTTTTAAAGAAATGGAAGAGTGAGTACAGATAAAATTTTCCTCAAGTTTTAGAAGTACGGAGAAGAAACAGAAAAGGTAATCGGTGTGATGAAAGTTAAGTTGAAGGGAGAGAAGTCTAAAATGGTAATCTCGCGTGACCACCGTCAATTCAGATTCAACCCAATTGGTAAAATGTTGAAAAATTAAATAATAATAATAATTTTTTTGTTGAAAAATTCAATTTGAATTTAAACAAAGAAATTGAATTGAATTTTAAGAGAAAAGAAGGTTGCAGGCGAGGACCGGATATAGGACCCTGAAAACCCAGGGCACTAATAGGAATTAAAATTGAGTTTTGATAGAATGAGACAATTATATTTGATATCTTATGACACAATAAAGTTAAAAAAGCTGACTCGTCGGTGGGAAAAACAAATGTTTCTTTCCAAATTTTTTTTTTGAAAGAAAGAATGTTGGAAATTATGAGATTATTATGTTCACTCTTGTCATACACACCTCAACGTCCAAAGGGTTAAAAGCCTAAAACCAACCAGGAGTTAACGCCAACAAAATATATGTGGATGGATCCAAAAGCTTATGCAGCATCGAGTTGGCGCTGATCCTTCTTCCATTGCGAAGGGGCAATTCCTTGAACGTCGCTCTTTAGGAAAACTCAAAAGAGTCCCGACATTATTCATTGGAAAATGAAACTCACAATTGTCAATATATACACACCTGTATTCAATCAGTGCATGGACCTGCGAGGCTTCATCATGGCTTTTCAACCAATTCTTAAGCAACATTTTTCCGATGAAGCAAATCAAGGCCTCTACTTGTCTCTCTGCTGCTTCATCACCCTTGTGTTAGCTTTCAAGCTATCAAGAGGAAAGCAATACTCCAATCTGCCTCCATCTCCTCCAAAACTTCCCATTATAGGCCATCTTCATCGGCTGGGTCCTCTTCTCCACCGATCCTTCCGTGACCTCTCTAATGAATACGGCCCTCTCCTTCTGCTGCAAGTGGGTCGAATTCCAGCCCTGCTCGTGTCCTCTGCCGATTTAGCCAAACAAGTCCTGAAAGCCCACGACATAGATTTCGCAAACAGATTTCAAGGCGCGGCTGCCAGAGTTATATCCTATGGTTGCAGGGACATATTCGCCTCAGACTACGGTGAAAGCTGGAGACAGAAGAGGAAACTCTGTGTGCTCCAACTCTTGAGCTTGAAGATGGTTCGATCGTTTCAGTTCATAAGGGATGATGAGATCCAGGATTTGATCAGTAACATAAGAGAAACCTACTGGAGAAGCAATGGAAGTTGCAGCGTGAACATGAGTGAGATGCTAAGTGCAGCTTCTAACAACATAATTTGCAGGTGTATCATCGGACACAAGTTTAAAACAAAAGAGAGCAGTAGGTTGGGGAATTTGGCTAGGAGGGAGATTATTCATCTTGGGGATATAAGTTTGGGAGACGTGTTTCCTTCGTTGAGTTGGGTTGATTATGTAACAGGGAAAGTGAGGAAGTTTAAGAGAAGTTTCGCAGAACTGGATCGTTTCTTCGATGAGGTGATCGCAGAGCACAAGGCAGCGAAGAAGGATGATGACGAGAGGAAAGACTTCGTCGATATTCTTCTCCAAACTGGTCATCAACTTGACTTTGAGCTGGATCAGGATAGCTTCAAAGCTATCCTCATGGTAAGATCAAGTTATTAGTTTAGCAAAGTAATTGAGAATTTATATGGACTTAATTAGTACTCCCCTGGGTCCCTGTTATAAGGACTTTGAGCATGTCTCGTATAAAATAACGTCTTATCTAAAGTAATAATTTTTTTCACTGGATGCCCTATTAAGTTATATAAAAAAAACCTTCTAACTAATAAAACAAACTCTTCTAAGTAATGATTTTTTATTGATATTTCACATAAAAAATGACTGAGCTGACTTAAAGTGGGGTGTTTAATTATAAATTTCAGGACATGTTCTTAGCAGGAAACGACACAACTTCAACAACTATGGAATGGGCAATGTCGGAGCTGATGAGTCATCCAAGCACCATGGAAAAAGTGCAGAAAGAAATAAGGACAGTGGTGGGCAGCAAATCAAAAATAGAGGAATCTGATATTAACAAAATGCAATGCTTGAAGTGTGTCATCAAAGAAACCCTAAGATTACACCCACCCCTTCCTTTATTGATCCCTCGCAGAACAAATAAACATGAAGAAGTAGGAGGATATGATGTTCCTCCCAAGACAATGGTGTTTGTGAATCCGTGGGCAATTCAAAGGGACCCTCAAGTCTGGGAAAGGCCTGAAGAGTTCGTTCCAGAGAGATTTGAACAGAGGGAGATTGATTTGAAAGGACAAGACTTTGAGTATATCCCATTTGGTTCAGGAAGAAGGATATGTCCAGGGATGGCCTTTGGGCTGGCTTCCCTTGATTACGAGCTCGCCAATCTTCTTCATTGGTTTGACTGGAAGCTGCCTTCTTCTGGGTGTGACGTGGATATGGGCGAGACATTTGGGCTCGTAGTCAAAAAGACAATGCCACTTTATCTTCAGCCGAAACCCTACTTGGTTCCTATGTAGTAATATGTTGGGCTTTCTGTTCGTTCTTGTGATATGATGTGCGAAAACCTAAATAAAATGTGACGCACGTTGTTTATGTTGAAAATTTCATCTTCTGTGCCATATACCTTGTGTTATTTGGATGGAGTCTTGTTTAATTAATGAAGAGAAATGAGTCAATATATATATGACTGAGTAATAGTAAAAGTAGTGTTGATGAACAAGTGAGTTTGTACGCATGGATGAAAATTTAAAATGCCATAATAATTATTGTCTTTATACTTCAAACACTATAATTTTATTTTATTTTTTTAAAAGAAAAATTTCTTCTGACATGCATCCATCCAGCAAGCCATCGGTAAAAATTTCTGCCTCCTTATATCGCTTCCTTCCCTCCTTTCTTCTTCGGGAGTATTTGGATGAAATAAAAAATATGATTTTAAAAGTGCTTTTACAGTATACAAAGTAAATATGTGGAAGAGTTTATCTCAATTTACAAAAAAATACTTTTTAAAAGCACTTTTCAAGAAAGTCAAACACTCCTGGAATCACTCCATTTGATCAGAAGAAGAAGAGTTGTCTTCCCAATCTCATTCCCAGCCATTTTGTACGGCAGTGAAGTAAGAGGCAATTGAAACTTGTTTGTTATAACAGAGATCCTGATCCATCCATATACTAAATTACTTCTTTCGATTTTAAATATAAGACCTTTTTTTTAATGTAATTTATACTATAAAAGGAGTCTTATATTTAGGACAGGAAGAGTATATAGGAAGGAAATGAAACGACATGTGTTTAGATTCATTAAAATGAGCATGAAATTGGAATCTGCTAATGAAACACACGTGTGCGCGCGCATATATATCTTTAACCTAGTATTAACAGCACCAAAAAATGTTGTGGGGCTGCAACAAAACGGTTAATTTGCGAGTTGTCACGTTACAGATATATCAGCCTCCAAAGACGCATATATATAGATATATATGAGCTTCTTCATTTTCCTTTTCCTTTTCTAACCTTTCTTGCTTTTAAGTAAGCATTAGTTATCTCCATATGGACAGAGATTTAATACTTCTACCTGCTTTCTCTTCTTTCATTTAATTTTTGTTTTTTCTTATTTCGAATATGTGGCATTGTTGAGTATAGGCTATCTTTGTAATATTTGATGGAACATATTAACACCCACTTGCGAATTCGGAAGTATGATCAATTACGCGTCTTTCATGACCATACAAATATCTTTTTTTGTATATTTATCCATAATTACTGTTTGACAGTAACGTTGATGCAATATGATAGGACTTCACTTCCCTTTAAGTTTTGGATTTTTCCTCTGAAAACCAGTACATTATATCAGCCTCTATGCATCTAGTTTTGCCCAAGAATTATAAGTTTTTATTTGATGAGATATTCTCACTGCAAAAATAGATGCAGAAAATACAAATATTTGCGTGTTAATCATGGTCATTCTATATTGTTAACTTTTTTTTTTTTTGCAGTGGTCCCCATATGTTGTGCAAGGAATGATACAAGAAGGTTTATACTTTTTTTTTTTTTTGCCAACAAAGTAGGTTTACACTATTCTTTGTTTTAATGTGAAATTTGTGAAGAAGAGGGGGGAAAAAAAACCCTCAACGTTAACATTATTATCGACTCGATTAATTTTTCTAGCATATGGTCATTCAAGCAATTACTGGCAACTATTTCTACATTGATATGATTGCTAGCTGTAATTTTCTTGTCTCTTTTTTTTAATTCTTGTTCTCTTGTAATGATTGATGAAACATACTATTTTTTTTAAAAAATTGTAATTAATATATATAATAATATTTTATTATTTTTTTTAAAAAAAGAAAGAAACAACTTTCCACCGAATTTGGTGGAAAGTTGTGGCTTTTGACTTAGGAATAGAATTTAGGGGAGAGAGTAGTAAATGAGGTTGGAAAAAAATGGAGTGGAGTACATGAAAGAAGAATGTTGGGATGGAGTATTAAAATGAAGAGAAGAAAAAAAAAGAAGAAGAAACAGATGACGGAAGAATGTTGAGGAAGAGTAGTAAATAATGAAGGTGGAAAAATTGGCAATAGTATTAATTGAAGAAGGAAAAAGGGAGGATGCAGGTTGGAAAAAAAAAAAGAATCATGGGGACAGTATAGGTTGAAAAAAATGGGAGAGGGGCGGTGGAAAGAATGGCATATGGGGTTATTAAATACCTTCATCCCAGTAAATTTTCAAGCCAAAGGAAGAGAGGCGGAAGAGAAAGAGGGAGCGAGAGAAGAGAAAAGAGAGTGAGAAGTAGAGGAAAAGAGAGAAAGCTGAGTTGCAGAGTACGTGACAAGTTTTGGAGATCATTTAGATACACAAAACTACTTCTTTTTATTAAATTTTCTTTATGAATATTTTTTCTATATTTATATATAGCTTCATCTTATTAATATCATTATAATGTTTAGAGAAAAATTTACCGTTTGAATATGGAGTAGATGTAGAGTTTTAACAATATATGACTGTAGAAATTTAAAGATAAATTATTAAGAAATTTTAATTGGTTTATATTTACTCAATTACTGTTTTGAGAATTTTAAATTAAGATTTTAGTTAAAAAATTTGTTATTCGAAGATATAGAATATTTTACCGATTAAATTTAAGTTAAATAATTTATTTGAGTTATTTAATATATTATTGAGGTTTTAATCAGTTTAAATATTGAATAAGTTAAAGATATATTTTTGAAATAATTTCTGAAGGCTTGAAAAATTGTAAATTGAGAATTTTGTGAAACTAAATAATGTTACAGTTTGTTTAATTCAAAGAAGTTGTTTGGTTTGAGAAAATTTTTTAAAAGAGACTATAATAAATAATTGAGAATTTTAATATAAAATATTTAGATGGATGATAAAAATATATTTAATTAAGTTGTTAAATTTAAATAGCCTTATATGTAAATTATATTTTTCAAAATAATATTATATCTATTATAAATGGCTAGATTTGGGAGAGTTAATATATTTATGTAATTTTGGTTTAGAGGGTAGTCTTAGAATTTTAGAGTAGTTTTAGAGTAGTTATGAGTTTATATTAATAAATATTTATATGTAATTTTGTAGACTCTTGAGAATTTTGGAGTAATCTTTATGTAAATATTTGTACTCTAAAATACCAGATAACTCTAAAAATTCTTTCTTGTACATGTGAATTGTGTATGATTATATTGTGAATTTATTAATTTTTATATTATATTGAAATATAATATTATGATTTTTTTAAATAAATGTTTTGGTATGTTACCTGATTTTATTAAGATTTATTGCTATTAATTATGATCAATATTTAAATATATTAATAGCTATAAAATTATCATGAATTGTTGTTAAATGGTACATGAATTTTATTGCTCTCTTATTTTTAATAATATATTTGAGGACATATTTATGATGTAATATTATTTGCATCTAACATATGCATCGTTGGGCTAAGGATAGAAGGATATTTGTATGGATATAAATTATCACGTGGCATGCCATCACTCGGTACACGGTGGATGGCATTTGTCAGGGTCCCTTCTTCCATGTTTTCCTTTAGCTGGAAATTCATTAGAACTATGGGACATGTGACACTTCCCTATTCGCAAAGGAGGGAAGCCATAGTCCGAGCTTGAGCTCTATATCTTTGACCGGATATATCTCTAGTATCGGTGAGCTTGGAATAATTCAGTAAAATGGATTAGTTCCTATTAGACTATGTGTTAGCCTATAGTTTCAGTCAGCGGTATAAAGGTGGACAGTGATATAAGGGAGGCAGCATATTGCATTATTTTTGGATATATTGAAAAAATGAAATTGAATTGAATGTATCAAATCTGTGATTTTTAATATATTTACATATACACACATATAAACAGATTTTTGGTTTATCATATATGGTTTGCTTGTATAGGTTAGAATTTCAATTACTGAGAAGTTTGATCTCACCCTTTATATTAACAATTTTCAAGCGAAGGATCTAGTAAGAATCAAGGGAAGGCACCAATGGAGTGAGCTGTAAAGGCTTTTGTACTCCTCAAGCACATGTTATATTATATTTTTATTTGCGATGACTATAAGATATCAATAGTTTATTTTGTTAAGTTATGTAGAAATGTTTTGAAATTATGACTTGTTTGAAATGTTAAAAATATGTATGGACTTTTAAATTAAATATTTTGTTACGTATATTGATATAATTATGTGACGTATTACACACTGGAAACAACTTGGTGGGCCATTTCTTTGGGATAATTTTCCCGTTTAAAAAAAAACAGCGGTATTAAATTCTATCCGAAATATTTTAATTTTTTAATATTTTATTTTATTTAAAAGCTGGTACATAAAAAATAAATGAAATATTATGTTTTTTTTCCATACAAACATATTTATGTCTCCGATTGTGTTGTAAAGATTATAATGCTATGTTCATTTTTATGTTTATCCAAAAAATAATATTTTCCTCATAATTTTGAACAAAAACTTTAGAGATATTTGTACGATTCTGGTGCCCTGGATTTTTCTCCACATGGATAATGACTTGAATATATACACAGATGCGTGCTTATGTCTCTATCCACGTGTGTGTCTATATGCATACATACAGACACACACACATATATATCTTTTATACATGAACTTGCATTCTGCATTCTTCCCTTACCCCTTGTCCCGTTCATCCTTCTGCAAAATTAGCATCATCAAAACCCCTCAATATATACTTAGAATAATCACCAATGGCTTTTCTGAATGCCACTTTTAACTTGTATCTCCTAGGCTTCGTCGCCCTCTTGTTCGTGTTAATTAAACTTACAAGACCAACAAAAAAGAAACCCAATCTGCCTCCATCTCCGCCGAAATTGCCAATTATCGGCCATATTCATCAGTTAGGCACTCTTCCTTATCGTTCTTTCAGAGACCTCTCTCTGAAACACGGTCCTCTCTTGTGGTTACAGCTCGGTCGGATTCCTGCTTTACTGGTCTCTTCTGCAGATTTGGCCAGAGAACTGATGAAGAACCAAGACGCAGTTTTTGCCAGCAGGTTCCAAAGCATATCTGCCAGAACCTTACTCTATGGATGTAAAGATATCGCCTATGCCACCTATGGCGAAAGCTGGAGACAGAAAAGGAAGATTTGCGTGCTTGAACTTCTGAGCCTG